ATAATCATGAATATCAGCCTTTATATACCTTTAATATCAGAATATTAAAGTCTTCACGCTTTGGAAACTGTTTCATCTCGTTAAAGAAAAATCCTACAGATAGTTGAAGTTTTAAATGTCAACAAAATCACATAAGTTCAAATAGTACATTTATGGGGACAACTTTAAGGTGCATGTGGTGCTTTAGTGGGTCAATAAATCATGTATGGTTGATCCAAAATACTCTAGTAATTAGCCACATTTTTTAAAATGTATTTATTGTAAACAGATTTGGGCCAAAAATTGAGTTTAATGTCAGAATAATGAAGTCCAGCAGCTTTAAATGCTCACGTGTTGGTTTTAAGAACAGTTGGACATCAGCGGGCAGATTTCTTTTCCTCAAATCTAATCAATTAAATGTGAACCAATCAAAACCAGATAACAGTTAATGATCTGTTGATTCAACCAGACCGTTTCCCATAAATCCCACAATCCTTTTTTTTTTTTATTTGCTCTATAATGACCCCAGTTCCCAACATGCATCTATAACAAACAACACAACTCCGAGTCCAGAGCAGGCATTTTTAATCTGAAACAAAATGATACAAGGATTTCACAAAAGGCGGGCAGATGTCGGATCACGCTCCCACCCAGCATATTGACAAAAACAGTATGCTTCTACGTCGATTAAAAAAGGCTAAGACACATACCATACCATCATTTAAACTTATAAAACTGAGATTGCACCCTGTTATTTTACAAACACCTCTAATGAAAAAATATGTCGAGTAAAAGTCAAATGAAGTGGAGTAGCATGTGCATAAAAGACATCGAGCATGAGTGCCTGGTTTTCTACAGCTACTTATCAAAAAACAGGAGGCGGGGGCGGCGCTGAGGGGGTCGGGGAATGTAAATAGAGGGGCGACACCGGGGCTCGTGACGAACAGTCCGAAACGTGAACTAGGAGCGGGAACGGGAGCGGGAACGAGACGGGGAGCGGGATTTGGAGCGGGACTCCGAGCGGGAGGCGGACCGCGAGTGGGAGCGGGCTTTGGCCGGAGAGGGGGAATGGGACTTGGACTTGGATTTGGATCTGGCTCTGCACTTGGACTCGGCGGGGGAGCCAGAACGGGAGCGGGATCCCCTCTCCGGCTCGCCTCCCTCGTCGTCGCTCTTGGGCGGCTCGCGGTCCTTGGAGCCGGATTTCCTCGAGCGATCCTTGTTACCTGATCTGGAGCGGGACCTGGAGCGAGAGCGGGACCTGGACCTGGAGTCCTCCTTCTTGATCTTCTTGCCTTCCTTCTTGATCTTTTTGCTCTTGGGGCTGCGGCTCCGGCTGCGATCTTTCCCCTTCTCGGCTCCGTTGCTGCGCTCCTCCTCCTCCTTCTTGTTCTTGCCCTTGTTCTTCTTGCTACGGGACCGACTGCGGGAGCGAGAAGCCGCTCTGTGGACAAAAGCAGAACCGCTTTCAATCTTTGCAGAGCAAAACTTTCTCATTTAAAACCAACACCCACATAGGATTGACTTAATAAATAACCCTTAACATAAAACGTATCACAAAAAAGGCACATTAAAAGAAAAAACTGCGAAGAAAAATAAAACCCATCTACGCTAAATTTGTAAAGCAATTTTTAGCATTTTGTGCTTTTTGTGATGCGTTTAAGTCAAACTTTTGTTCAGTATTCACAGATTAATACAAAAACAGGCGACGGAGTGTTACTACACGTGTGAACGGTACACAAGGAGGTTTAAATGTTCTACAGACGAATGAGGTGAGCGCTGATAAAAGCGTCGCCGGACCTTTCATCAGTCAGACAAGATTCAATCTGCTCATATTACTGGATTCACCTTGTCCATCCAAGTGTGATATCAACCTGGATATTTCTCTTTTCTAGTTTTGCATTGATGCAAAGCTTGATCACTTATCTTGATATACGCTGTTTGCTGATAATGACAAAGAGCTGAAACAACTATTTGCATAAAAAAACAATTAGATGTGCCTCTTTTTTTTTTTTGCTTGAAATCTTGTCACAGTCAAACTAAACATCAGGTCTTAACTTTGCACGGGCTAAACACCTGCTTATTGGTCGGCACTACGATTTACAGACGCTCCCTGAACGCCTCGCTGTGGTCCAGGCTGGCCAGATGCAACCAATGCATTTAAAACACAAAACAACTGATGGAGTCTCACCTGGAGTGCGAGCGGCTGCGACTGCTGCTTTCACTGCGGCTGCGGCTCTTGCGAGATCTGCGGCTCCTGGAGCGAGACCTAAAAACGAGAGATTAGCAACAGTTGGCATTAAGCTAACAAGCTGCAGCCATCGTCAAGCTTCCTCTCTGTTCTTACAACTGATCACAAAGACGTTAACACGCTTCTAACCTGGAGCGGCTGCGGCTGCGAGAGTAGGAGCGGCGGCGCCGGGCACCGGGACGATCCTCAATGAGCCGGATCTTTCTGCCGTTCACCTCGGTGCCGTCCAGCTTCTCCAGAGCCCTCTTCATGTCCGAGTACAGCCTGAACTCAATCACGCCCTCGTTCCTGCGACCCTTGTGGGTGTCTGCGTAAGTCACCTCCCCCGCCTGCCTCATGTAGTCCTTTAAAGACAGAAAAACACACATGATCGTCTGTTCAGCTAGAAAAGAAAGATGTATCGTAGTTGCGTGACAGAAACGCGGTCCTACCTTCAAGTCCTGCCAGCTACAGCGGCTGGAAAGATTCTCAACAATAAGCCGATAATCTGTCCTCATAGGCGGACCATATCTGTCTCTTCCCCAGCGTCCATATCCACCTTTCAGGGTAACAAGGAAACAAAAGGAACAATGAGGCCTGGAAAGCGACTGAGGTGGTGCAATTATGCTAAACTCCAAAGCTACACACTACAAAAATATATCAATATTCACTTGGGAAAAGGAAACAAAGAAGGGGAAAAGCAAAAGGTGAAAAAGACTTACAAAAAGAAAAAAAAAAGTCATTAAATCCTAAAAAGATCCTAGTTATTTCTTTTCTACTAGATCTTAAATTTAAAAGCTTAAGCCAAAACAACACAACTGTAAATTTTGGTACAAGTTCAATCAGCCTATTTTTCTTTTTTAATAAAAAAATACACACAAAAAAGAAAAAAGAAAATGAAAAATCATAGCTGATCCAGGAAGTACTTACGGTGAACTAAAGCATGTTTCTAAGCTATCCTATCTAACAACATTTCACTGTTACAAAACATGTTCTTTTTTTCAGGCACCTATAAGAGCTGAACCCACATCTCTTCCTAACCCCATGGCATCCTCACCACCCGGCCTGGGCCTAATGGGAAAAGCGGTCTTCATTCACAATGGCTCCCTTTTTTGGTCTGCCCAGGGGCCCAGAATGGTCAAACCACACTCTTGGAAAGGGGGGACACCATGGCCAGCAATAGGGGCAGGCAGTCAGCAAAGGACTCTTTCAATTAAAACATTGAGGTTCTTTGTTAAATCTTTACCTTTAAATTGACAATCATTTTAAATGAAATAAAAAACGGAATAAGACATCAATAGATTACAAGATATTTAACAATCATTTTTGTTTACAATATTCAAATGAATACAGTTATATTCCTTTCTACTAGTTAGCCATTTCCCCATCACACATTCACATGATTATTAGTTTCACCACAACAACAGTTTCCATCACATGAAAGATATTTGCCCAGTCATTGGTGGCTCTGGTGCACACAAGTTTAATCATGTTACGAGCTGATAAGGACGCTTCCTCCCACTGTCTGCTGTAGTTTTTGGAAAGAGGAAAAGTTAGCGGTGACTTTCTCTCATTAGCAAGACAAACCAAAACAAAACCCAGGAAAGGAGACACGCCTGTATGTTAACAAAAGGGGGCCATCAAAAACCTGGAAGGCTCATTGGAAACAGAACAATGGTGAAAACTGATGAGGGGAATGCGATGGGCGTGTGTCGCTCAAGGAAATAAATAAATCAAGCTGGAAAAACAAACAAGTTACCCACCAATAGAGCAAAAAAAATCAGATGTTCTCCTGTCTGTAACCCACATCCCCCAGCTCAGGACACCTTCTACAGAATTCACACTATGATATAAATTGAATGCACATCAGCCACCAAGGACAAGCGAAAAAATTTTGCCCCTTTGAAATTTAGATTAACCTGCGATGAATGAAATCCCTCATCAACCACATTATTCACGTGAAACAAAAACACAAACTCTGCCGGACACTTACTCTTTCCACTATAGCCTCCGTCCCGCCGGGGTCCCTTGGTGTGCTCCACAATGACCCGCTCGCCGCACAGCTCTTTGCCGTTCAGGTCGTACACCGCATCGTCTGCGTCGCGGGGGTCATCGAATTCAACAAACCCGTACCTACAGGCGGGAACGGGACACGTTTCAGCGCTTCAGCAGACAGGAATATGCTCGTCATCACAGCAGAGGGCAGACTTGCACAAACTGGCCCAACATGTCGGGACACCGTGTACATTTACACATAGATCATTACAATCACTACATAGACTCACTTTCTTATACATACCAACTCGTGTACAGTCCTGCTACCTGTTTGCTAATATTATTAAACATTCATTTGTATAAATACTAGTTATATGACAAAATGAAGACAGCAACAACACTTTTGTCACATTTAAACAAAAAATGTCATGAATTAACCAGTTCCTGCCTCTAAAACATGAATAAGTGTGATTGACAATCTGACAGACAGCGTAAATGTTGATTAATGTGTCGATCATTGACAAAATCAATCAATTATTTGATCTTTAAAACGTTAAGAGTTTTCAAACGTTCTGAAGTGCTTTATGTTGTCCACAACCCAATCATATTAAAGTCACTGATGAAAAGCCTTAAATTCAAAGTCTTCTGCATTTCATACGTGGATAAATGTTGTTTTTTGTGATTTATTTATTACAGTGAGCTGACGCGAGCTGTTTAAATGTGTTCACTTTGGGATTTCTGCAGTGTAGCCGGAGTGACTGAACAAATAATCTCCTCTTAAAGCTGATGATGCAATTAACAAATTGCAAAGGCTGCAGGTTATAATATATATTATGCAGCACGTCTGACTCAGGGCTTTTTTATTATCATCACTACTTCACTACGCTGACTTCACCAGGTTAAATACTTCAATGCTGCTCCTGAGTCCAGAATCACAGACTGACCTCAAGTCAGAGAGTGTTTACACAAAAGGTCTCATCAAGTCTGTAATTGTATTTTTAAAAAAAATAAAAAATACTACTACTTTAGGTATTTCGGCATATTCACAGCTGTTTTATCTGCAATACCAGTTAAAATGGATTAAATATAAACGTTGGGAGAATCTAATGCAGCGTCTCCTCCTGCTTTAGGAAACACTGCTATTGTTATTTCTCATAGAAAAGGGTTCAAAACACGTTTTACATCATTTACACTGTGAATATCAAAATGAAGCTTGGCTGTAATTTAAAGAAAGGAACAAAAAGTGAAATTAGATATCTTCCCTAAATCGTCTTTTTGCACAAAACTCCTGAACACCAGATTCATCGACAACGAAAACCGTCTCCGACATTTAAACTGTCAGTTCACGAGAGGAGCTCCAGCGGTGGCTAATTAACGACCGTAGAAGCTGTCCGAGGATTCTGTTGAACACGTGGGAAGTGTGTGATTTCAACTGTTTTGTGAGGCAGCTTCTTATCAGAAGCTGCACATGGGTGTGACTGAACTTGAAGTTGTATTTTGCGCTTTGCTTGTGAAACACTCCGCCGCCTTTGACTTTGCCACGTCTAATGTTAGCTAGTCGGCTAACGCTAGCGGGGATAGAGCCCCCCCAAAAACAAAATAAAACAAAAAACGGTGCCGAAGCTCGCAAACACCAACTCTAATTTCGTATTGAGAATACATGCAGCTAATCGAAACCAGGACGTCGCAGTGAACCATATTTGCGACGGCGGCCGATGTTAAACGCTGCACGTACTAAGCTAGTTAGCATTAGCAGGCCGGGCCCGCTTCAAACAACAAGGCCCGGCTATGTGCACGGCGGCCTGTGCAGACGTTTAGCTTCGACAAAACATCGATCAGCAGCCTCAACGTTACCCGTTTTTCAGATCGACTTCGAGTATCTTCCCGTAGCCTTTGAAGAACCTCTCTACGTCCTTCTCCCTGGCCCTGTAGCTCAGCCGTCCGATGTAAACCCGCGACATTTTGTTAGCTTCTCCGTTCCGCCGAAATGTGCGACCCGATCATAAAACACCGAGCGAGCCACATGGCGCATGCGTGGGGCTGCAGACATACGAAACGGGCTCCTCCCAGACGATTGGTCGAGCGGCCGCAGGGGGCGTGTCTCCCTGTGATCGTTTGTATTGTGAACTTTATTGACAACACAGTGATGTTACAACACTAATAATATTACAAAGAGCATCCTGAAAAATAAAATTAATTACTTAAAACAGAAACACAAGCAGGAATTAAACTGCAAAATGTAAAACAATGCATAATACAGAAATTAAGAGAGAACAATGGGCAGAAATGTGCCACTAGAAACTACGTTTAAATCACATAATTACAAGAACTAAATTAGGATTTTGACAACTGAATGTGGAACTAAAATACCATTTGGTCTAATAAACTCAACTTCAGATTATGTTTTTGTTTGTTCGTTTTTTAAATCATACAATTTTTAAGTTGATAAATTCAAATTATGTGATTCAAATTCAGTTTCAGCAGCATTTATTCCTGCGTGTACAGATGGGTTATAATACAGATTCTGTTTATTTCCTCCCATCAATGGACTTCGATTGTGTTGTTGTATGTTGTGTAACTGCTGTTCTGGGGTTGTGTTTGGTCTGCTTGCTCAGATGTAAATTAGCTGCTTCGGTGCAGTTACTTTTAACTGTATGCTCCCCTGCAAACAAAACAGTAAAATAGAATAAATGATAAATAAGTGGGTTCTGGTCACAGACTAAAAATGTCCCAGGCATATTATCTGTCTAACAGGGCTGAGGTTCAGGGAATTTAGCGAGCAAGCAAGTGTATTTCTATAGCACATTATTAATCACAGTTATTCAAAGTCTTTTACAGGCAAAACAAATACAAAATTAAATTATATAAAAACAATAGAAAAGTTGAATGAAGTGCACATACTACTTAAAACAGATGGACTAAAAAAAGACAAAATAAAATAAAAATACAAAAAATATAAAAGAACAAGTTGATGAAAATGAATTAAAATGAGGTCAAAGTGGAAAAAAGTAATATAAAAGTACAATAAACTTCAGCAGGCTAAAAGACCTTACAATGAGTTTATTCACAGTTTCAGCTTCTCAAATGTAAAGATTTGAATCCTCGTCACGATCATGATGAATGTTAATATAGCACAGGCCCTAATATTTGGACAAAACAAGCAATTTGGAGACTTTATCTTAGATGTCTGGGAAACATATTTAGTTCACTGCTCTGAAAACAAACAAAGAAAAACTGTAAATATTAACATGTTAGAAACTGGAAGCAGTTATTTATTTGGCATTTTGCTGAAAACATTTAAACAAATAATCAGTTATCACATTGTTGCAGATTCATTTTCTGATCAACACTTGGTTGTTCTGCTTTTTCAGCTCCTTCTAACATCCACATTTGAGAAACTGAGCCTACAGTGAGAATGACTTGGTTTGACTTACCGAGCAGTACTTCTGGGTTCATTTTAAAAGGCAGATCTCTGACAGCATCCAGCTGCTCTGCCTGCTCTCACGGTGAAGCTGTGGCTGGAAACATGCTGATTATTGTTCAGACTTCATGTATAATTACAACAGTGACGACAGCCACATGGCAGCTGTGTCATCAGAAGACTGCAGTCATAGAGCTGCTGAACCTGCCCTTCTACGTTTCTGTCTTGATGCTGTGCTCCAGACTTTCAGTCACAACCTGCAGACACAGACCGTATAGTTTCATAGACTGTAACTCTGACTACATGCAGCAGCAGTGTGTTTGCAGTGATGGTTGTGTCTGCGTGTTGCATTGAAGCTGCTTCATCAGTGAACCACTAAATACACAAACACATTTGTCATCGAAGCACCGCAGGTTCAAACGTTCACAGCTGGAACGTTCACAGCACCACAGACTGAACCAGTCAACATTTATCCAGCCACAGCTTCATCATCACATCACAGTTTGGCCTTTTAAAATGAAAAATGAACAATGAAATTGTTAGATCCGGTTCTTTAGTTGGAAGCCCAAGAACAAGCCGGAGAAATCTTCAGTTCTCAGATGCAGAATTTATTTAGGTCACAGGTAAAGTGAGGCAGCGCTGGAATTCAGAGGGACAGAGAGGAATCTCATGTCCAGCTGAACTGAGTGTTTTCGGTTCCAGGTTCCAGATATCTTCTTGGGCTGGGCCTTCCCCGAACATAGATAAGATTCAATTGGCCAGTTACTAATGGTGTGGACAGACATCTTTCTGTGCTCTGTCCACGTCCTTGATATTTGGTAAGCAACGTGTGTGGATGTTGTTGGTACGGCGTGTAGCTAAAGTAACAATCGTATCTAATAGAAAAGAGGAGTTTCCGCTATCTCCAAGTGTGCAAACCAGTTCTCACTGGCCACATTATCTTCAAGGACATAAGCTCAGCACAGAATACAAACTCAGAATACATAATAACTTGAAACTTAATTAATTATAAGAACCATAGGAATCATGGAAAAATACAGACTGAGAACACATAATAGCTTGAATCATACTTAATTATAACAAATGCATCACATAAAGTGTTGCATCCATAGACTGTATAAGTGTATGGATGCACCATGTTCCTTCATCCTGCTCCACTGCAGTGTTTCCCTCAACTGGCAGCTGGAACTGGACCGACACCGGTGGGAATGGTGAGCGTATTATAAGGTGACGCAGGATTTATTGTGAAATAATGCAAAAGTATTTTGAGGTAAAACAAAAAGTGTTGTGAAGTAACACAAAGGTATCACAGGGTAATGCGAAAAGTAGTAAGGTAAAACAAGGTAAAGCAAAAGTTTTGCAAAGTCAAACGAAAAGTCCATCCATCCATTATCTATACACCGCTTAATCCTCATTAGGGTCGCGGGGGGGCTGGAGCCTATCCCAGCCGACTCAGGGCGAAGGCAGGGGACACCCTGGACAGGTCGCCAGTCTATCGCAGGGCTACACTTAGAGACAGACAACCAGCACACTCACATTCACACCTACAGACAATTTAGAGTCACCAATTAACCTCAACATGTTTTTGGACTGTGTGGGAGGAAGCCGGAGAACCCGGAGAGAACCCACGCTGCATGGGGAAACTCCACGCAGAAAGATTCCGGTGCCCCCACCGGGACGCGAACCGGCAACCTTCTTGCTGCGAGGCAACAGTGCTACCAACTGCGCCACCTTGCAGCCCCAAACGAAAAGTCTCACAATGTAATTCAAAACTACTGCACGGTGACGCAAAAAGTATTACAAAGTCACACAAAAGTGGCATGAGGTGACACAAGAAGTATTAAAGGTTCGATTGGAACTCATCTCACATTAATTACCTTGGACTCAATCTATCTAAGGACCCCTCACAACGATTTAAAATTAATTATACCTACAATAATAAAAGAATAATGGACTATCTGGATGGGTGGGGAGGGCTTCCTCTGGACTTTGGCAGCAGAATAACAGCTGTTAAAATGAACATCCTCCCTCGGCTATTGTATAATTTGTTGTCACTACCGATGGAAATCCCCCCAGAGACAATTTAGGGAATGGAACCAACACATGTCACGATTCATTTGAGACAAAAAGAGACCAAGAGTCAAACTGACCACACTGCTGCTGTCGGAGGGGGAGGGGGGCACGGCCCTACCATCGCTGAAGGATTATTATATATCAGCACAATTAAGACCCCTGGTGTGCCGGTGCAACCAAATGGAAGACTATAGAGTTATCACTAACAGACACACCAATACAATCATTACTAGGCCATGGGGGAAAGCTGAGACCCAACGGACAACAAGTCAGTTTATAAATCACTCTTTGAACATATGGGGGGACGTGATCAAACGCTTCCAGCTTCTAAATGAGGTGAAAATACTCAGATGGCCGGCGTACCAAACCTGCAATGCTGGATCAAAGGTTCAGGCAATGGGCTCACTGTGGTTTTACATCCTTGTGCAAGACTGTTAAAAAAGGAAAACTCTCTGACTTCAGAATTTATGTGAGATACATGGTTTGGGCAAACAGGATTTCTTTGGGTATTTGCAGCTAAAAGGGGGTGATCCCTCTGCAGTCACTCAAACATTCATGGATGCTTATCGCTCTGGCAACAACAAAGGACTTGTAAGTAAGCTGTACCACAGCCTCTCCTCTCTGAAGGTGGACACCACTATGTGAAACAAAGATGGGAGAGAGAGCTGGACATGGAAATAACACAGGACATGTGCCTGGAAAACACAGGCATCCTCTACAAACTCAAAGACTTGGAGGGACTTTTGCTGGAGGGACCTAATCTGTTTCTTCATCCCCCCTAAACAGAAATCACAACAAAGTGGCGTCCAGTCCAACTGCTGGAGGGAATGTGGAGCGGTCATGGCTGATCACACTCATGTGTTCTGGTCCTGACCCATTATCCAGGTCTACTGGAGTAAGGTGACAAGAATTATATCAGAGGTTCTGGGTTTTAACATTTGCATGACATTTACGACTCTTTATCTTGGGATTACTCCTGATGGTATGAATGATGCTTACCTCTTCAACATTTTGCTGGAAGCACGTAAAAAAAACATCATAAAACACTGGCTCCAGAGGGACTGCCCGACCATGGACCTATTTATTAACATTGTTAAGCAGCTGCATACCCCAGAGCAAATGATCTATGAGACTCCAAAAAGACCAGGGGAAGCACGATGGAGGAAGTGGTGTATGTTTTTAGCCACTGAAACAAACAGACATTAACAGCAATAGATGTCCAGATACTCTGTCACTGTGATGCACAGACTTAGTTCAATTCTGTTATTATTATTTTATTCATTTTATTTTTTTCTCTAATTTTACCTGAATTATTTTAGTCCGCATTTTTTTATTAGTTTTGTTGATGATGTAAATATGATTTCCTTGTTCTGAAAATGTTTCTTATAAATGTTATAAACAAAAAGTAAAAAAAAAAAAAAAAGTATTAAAGGTACATGTAGTAAAAGTACTGCAAAGTAACACAGAGGAATTGCAAGATAATGCAGAGTAATATGAGGTAAAGCAACTGAACGGAGAAGTAACACAAAACTACAACAAGTTTGTGCAAAACTATTGCGAAGCAACGCACAAGTGTTTCAAGATCATCCCAAAGCACAACAAGTGTTGTGATGTAAGACTATTGTGAAGCAAGAAGTAATATGAGGCAAAATAAAAGTCATGTGAGGGAACACAACAAGTGTCATGATGTGAAGCCAAACTTTCTGTGGATTTACTGATCAATTAATCGATAAAAAGTTTCAGGTCAACCGTCCAACCTGCTGCTTAAAGTTCAGACCTTCCCCTCCCGGCTGTAGCGCCGCGGTGGGCGGGGTTAAGGCTCACTATGCCCGGGGTCTTCAGAAGGCAGCGCTGCTCCGCTCCCCGGACGTCCCTCCACCGTCTCACCGAATATTTTCCCTCCAAACCGGCCCGGCGGGTTTAAAGTTGCTCGGTGGAGAGTTGCCGCTCAGATGTCGGAGTCCCGGAAAGCGAGTCTGTCGGCGGCGGTGAGCAGCGACGAGCCGCTCCTGGAGCGAGTAACGGTCCGCTAGCCGATGCTAGCTTCCCCGCAACAGGTGGTCGGTGTCCGGCTAGCAGGGCGCCATGGAGCGCGCTTCTTTCTCCAAATACTCCTGGATCGACTTCGCCTTCTCGGTGGTCGGGGTGTGCACCTTCCTGGTGGACTGGGGCTCCGACGTGTGGGTCGCCACCGAGTTCTACCGCCGCGGGGAGCTGGTGTGGTTCGGGCTCCTGCTCGGCCTCATGCTGCTCTCCTCCGTCGTGGTCCAGATGTTCAGCTGGTTCTGGTTCCGGTACGACCGGGAACTGCCGGGCTTCGGGACTCAGGCCGGGGCGGGGACGGTGCTGTTCGGGGACCGCGCGGAGCTGTTCTGCCTGCTGCATGTGCTGCAGCTGGGCTTCCTGTGCAGGTAAACACACCTGAGCGGCTCTTCTCAAGTCTGAGGGTTGTGCAGGAACCAGCTCAGGGTTTGATTCAGCAGCTGAAGTAACGTTCAGGTCATTTAGGGCCTTCTTCCACTTGACAAAGTGGCTGAAGGGACCGACATGATCCATCAGAGTCCACTTTGTTGTTAGGTCTGCATGTGTCCTGGGTTTATGATTTGAGCTCTTCCTCTCTCTTCAGTTACTTTCTTATGACACACAAACATGTTCTGCCCTCCTGTCAGCTCCACAGCTCACTATGACTCAGTGTATCTGAAGTCTGTTCCTTTGCACAAGAATTCCTTTTTTACATTTATTTTTAAATAAGAGGAAAATCCTCGACTGTAGCTTAAAGGAACCAAAGTGTCCAGAACACAAACAGAACCTCCGGTACTAATGGAGTCCTGTGTGCTCCATCTGTCAATAATCACTCCAACATTCTGAATTCAAGCCCAAGACACAACTGTTTCTTAAAACTCATAGTTTTTGTGCTTTTGCAGACAGTTTTATTCCATTTTAATGTAATTATCCAAGTAGCTGCAGGATTGTCATCAGATTTTGCATCAAAAAACTCATCCGTGTTTAACTTTTTAAAACTTTTCTTTTAGTTTTATTGCACATTTCTATACAAACTGATGTCACAGCATCTCGTATGAATAAACTCACACACTATCAACCGGACATCGTACTTGGACCTGCAGATGGATCCTATCTGAAGTCTCTTACGCTGGTTCAGTTTTTCTGATAACCGAGTGCAGCTTCTTATTGTTCCACTGGTGCACCTTCGTAGCCTTTTTGCTGCTGAACATTTTGTATTTTAACGTGTGCTTTATTATTCTAAACCTGTGCTGAGCTGCTTCTGTGTGCTCTTGTTGAACACTCTGCTGCAAACATGCAAAAACTAATAATAATTTTCATTGTCAATTAATCTGTTCGTTATTTTCTGGATCAACTTTTTGGTCCTTTTCATTTAAATCTCCAGAAAATGGTGAAAAGTGTCGATCAGAGTTCCTCAAAGCTCTTGTTTTGTCCACAACCCAAAGAGGTTCAGTTTACTGTCACAAAGCATTAAAGAAACTGTAGAATATTTTAATTTAAAAAGCTGGAATCAGAGGATTTTGAATTTTTCCCTCCTCAAAAATGACTCAAACCAATTAATCCCTGATCAAAAAGTTGGTGATAAATGTAGTCATTGATGAACTGGTTGCTACTCAGGCCTTTGACTTTAACTACAAACCTTTATTGGGTCACCACAGATGCATTTGTGTGTTCAGAGTGATCCACATGAAAGCAGCTGCAGATGGACAGATGCACATATTTCCTGTTGTTCACGAGCAGGTTTCTGTTAAAAGTCGTTGATGGAAGTTTCTCAACACGTAGGAAGAGTTTCAGCAACAAACTGAGTGATGTAAGAACGTTTCATTTGTCTCTATAATAGTAAAAATAAAGTTTATTTCTATTGCAGGTCTCAAAACTGGAGTTAAAAAGTGTTTTACAAACAATAACACGCAGAAAACATGAGATAAAAGAGTAAAATAAATAAAACATTAGTGAAAAACAACCTTAAAAGACACTGTCTCTTAATTTTAATATGATTTTACCTGATTATTTTGTGTAATTAAAGCCAATATGCAGGTTAAAAACAGCACTTTTATGATAATTCTATTTATTACAGTCATAGAGGACAAAAGCAAGAAAATATTCACATTCTGCAAACGGAGAATTTAGACTTTATTTTCCTAAAAGCAATATTCAAAACCAACAAATCAGCAGTCAGAACAGCTGCAGATTCTTTTAATAGATTAATTAGTTCTTAATGTGTTCAATGCTCGTAATTCGGTTATTAAACTTGTTGTTTGGTCCAAAGATGTTCAGTTTAGTGTCACAGAGGAAGAAATAAATGAGAAAATATTCACATTTAACAAGATGCAAAAGAGAATTTAGATTTTTATTTGTTTAAAAAAAAAAAAAAAAAGCAAATGACTGTTTTCTTTGTTGCTAATCAGCAATGTCAGTGTCATTATTTTTCTGTGTAATTTTATCCTGCAGTATCCATCCATCTACATTTATTTATACCTGTATGTGTATAAAATCAACAGTTCCAGTCCTCTCATTATTTTCAGGAGGTTGTTTGGTTTGTCAAAAGTCCAAAAATGGTCAAAATGAAGGTGAATGTTTCCTAAAACACCAAACATCTTGACTAAATAAAGCCTCAAAGGACTCGTACATCCAGAAATATCACAGGAGCAGCTTTAAATATCTATAAATTCACATCACCACACGGTGTAAATTGTCCTATTTTTCTGCTCTGTGTGCATCTGGCATAGATTAAGATCATTTCTAAACTTTTACTTTCACATATTTCCTACAAAGCAAAGTTGTATTTTATTATTCTAAACAAGGGAGAAAACTTTTTACAATAAGAAATGGTGAAGAGACGAATATTTTCATACATGTTTCATAGTTTCAGTCTCAATTTTTCTCAGAAATATAAATGAAGCCTTTGACATCTCCGTCAGTTCCTGTGAGACTGAACGGGATGATTCCACAGAGCAGCTCAGGCGATTTACAGTTCAGGTGTGGCAACGAGTCGGTCCGGTAACTGAGGAGAAGTGAACACATGAAATGTACAAGTAAACGAGTTAATGAGGGATGAAGCCCTTTAAAAACCTGCTGAAGACACTTAATTCACGCTGACAGATTGGGTTCGTTGTGTCTTCTGGCTGCACGATAATGTGGAAAACTGACGTCAGATACAGGAATTATGAACCACGGGACATGAAAACATCCATCTGGAAGGAATGAGTCACTTTAGAAAAGTTTTTGTAGAGGAGTGAATCTGCTCTGGGAATGAAAAACATCTCTCAAGTGGTGCAACACTAGAAAAAGCGTTTCGTTTGGATCAGATTCAAATCAGAGCTGCTGATGTAAATGATCAAACAAATGAGTTGTGTTGTGATCACATCCTTCTGTAGCTTTTCGTTGCTAAATCTTCCTTTTCGCTGTTTCTTGCTTGTGTTGTTGTGCACATATGGAGCCTGGACGTCCACAGACTTCGTGTTATGTGAATGAAGTTTAAACTCGCTTCCTTTTTCTGTTTGTTTTGCGTCTCTTTTTGTTGGTTTGTGTCTTTTTGTGGTCGTTTCGTGTCTCTTTCTGCTCGTTTCGCATCCTTTCCTGGTTGTTTTGTGTCTGTTTTTGTTCCTTTTGTCTCTTTGTTTACGTTGTGTTAATTCCCTTCCCCTTTCTCTTCCTTTGTGTCTTTTGATGGTTGCTTCACGTTGTTTAATGGACATTTCATGTTTGTTTTCGTTCAGTTTGTGTCCTTGGAGTGATTTTGCTGTTTCGTGTGTCTTTGTGGTCGTTTAAAACTCGTCTATATTAGAGAGTAGTTTTGACACAGAAGGAATCGTGTCCTTTCCGGTGTTTCTCTGCTCTTGCTGCTCATTTTTCTGTGCACATGTGCAGCCTGCAGGTGAACAAACTGTGGGTCTTGTGACACAAAGTAAACAAATACTTCAGTGTTTTCAAGAACTGTTGAATCAGAGTAAACTACGTCCCACCAAACAGACTTCTGTTGTAGAGAGATCCAGTCATAGAAAATGAGTTTGCTTTTTGTATTAAGCAGCACAGAAGTTGTAGCCTGACAAGTTGTTTTGTACGACTGTGGTGTGTTATGGTGATTGTTATGGTGTTGTTACCGTGGTATTACAGTGGCAATACGGTGCTATCATATTATATACTATTACGGTGTTATCACGGTATTAATTAAGCTTGCTTGCTTATTACAGTGTTTTGTTATTGTTGTGGTGTTGCTACGGTGGTAATACAGTGTTATGGCTTTATCATGCTGTTATTACGGTGTTACATTGGTGTTGTAGTGTTACATTGTTCTTACAGTATTATTATATTGTTACGGTGTTATTATGCCATTGTTATTGTGTTACTATAGTGTTATGGTGTTGTTTTGGTGTTACTACAGTGTTATGGTGTTGTTATGTGTTACTATAGTGTTGTTATGGTGTTACTATGGTGTTGTGGTGTAGTTATGGTGGTACTACAGTGTTATTGTGTTGTTATGGTGTTGCTATGGTGTTACTGTCGTGTTGTTATGGTGTTACTATAATGTTGTGGTGTCATTGTGATGTGGTTATGGCGTTATAGTGTTGTTATAGTGTTACTATGGTGTTGTTATGGTGTTGTTACGCTGTTGTTACGGTATTACGATGGTATTTTCTCACAGTCTTGCGTCTCGTTTCTCTCTCCTCCACTCAGGCACATCTCGGCCATCCGTCAAGGCTTCAGGGTTTGGTGGAGGAAGCAGGAAGGATCAGAGTACGCCGTTTACCTGACCCACGATCTGAGCATGCTCCGTCTGATCGAGACCTTCTGTGAGAGCGCTCCTCAGCTCACCCTGATGATCTACGTCATGCTGAGGACCAACAAGGCCCGGACCGTTCAGTGTGAGTCCTGGTGACAGTCCACAGCCAATGACGGGGTTTACAGGGTTGGGATGAAGACTTATAGAGACGGTGACATTTCATCAATAGCAATAAGAAAACTGGTCACGACACGGTTTGATAGTTTCACTTGTAAAAGAACATCACAAAACTTTGAAGTTGAGGTTGTTCATATCAGGGGGTTAAAATCAAGCTAAACTTTATATTTTTGCTGTTTTTATTCGGTCACTTATTTAAAATCAACCAAATCAGAGAAAAAAAGGTTCCCACATGACCTCTTCAGAATCAGCTGATTGGTTCATCAGTACAGCAGATAGACACATGACATGTAGGAGGAAGAACACATCTGAGTTCTGCTAGAACCTGACACCAGATCAGTTCTACATCCATCCAGGTGTCTCAGTCTGAACACTGGACCCGGTTCTGTTCATGTCCTCTGTCAGCAGCTGGTAGCATCAGTATTATGGGATGTGTCATAGTGGTACCAGTCAGACTGCAGCAGTTTAATGTCCATTAAAGTGATAAATCTGGACTTTCAAGGGCCTGGAGCTCTGGAAGTATTCACAGTATGAAGGTAAAGTTCTGCTACTGAGGTTACTGTAGAACCAGCTGGTTCTGAGGAGGTCCAGTTGGAGGATCACATTCATTTGTCAGGGACTGGATACTGAACTGGTGTTGTCACATCCTGTCTCTGCAGTTGTGAGCATCGCGGCGTCCACCACATCCATCGCCTGGATGGTGGTGGACTACCACCGCTCGCTGCGCTCCTTCCTCCCGGACAAGGCCAAGCAGGGCTGGGGCTCGTCTCTCGTCTACTTCCTGTGGAACCTGCTGCTCATCGCGCCCCGGGTGGCGGCGCTCGCCCTCTTCTCCTCGGTGCTGCCCGGCTACGTGGCCGCCCACTTCCTGCTGCTGTGGCCAGTCTTCGTTCTGTGGGTGTGGAAGCAGGGGACGGACTTCATGGACAGCACCGGTGGCGAGTGGCTGTACCGGGCCACCGTGGGCCTCATCTGGTACTTCAGCTGGTTCAACGTGGCCGAGGGCCACACCAGAGGGCGGAGCTTCATTTACCACGCGTTCATGACAGTGGACGGCGGCCTGCTGCTGGGGACGTGGTGGTTCTACCGCGACCCGGTCCAGACGGAGGCATACGGCCTGGCGCTGCTGCTGGCGCTGCCGCTCACCTCCCTGCTGGGGCTGCTCTTCAAGTCGCTGTACTACTGCTGCTTCCACCCCCGACTGTGGAGGCCGCCGCTCAGGGAGCCGGCGCCGCCCGACGACCTGCCGGACGCCCAGGTGGCCTCCAGAGACTTCTCCATCCAGGACGACCCGCTGTCCGCACAGATCCTCAACAGGCGCATGGCCCGCCACGCCGCCCGCTTCTACAGGGACCCAGGAGGAGGAGGAGGGAACTCTGACGGAACCAACGGAACCGAGACGTCGCCACTGTGACCCAGATCAGTGTGATGTGATGCTACATGGTCCCGTGTGTGGCGGTGACGGCTTGTTGTTGGTCTGCAGACACCAGAAAATGGTGAAAGTGTTTCCCAGAACCAGAAATCTGAGTCATTTTCTAAAAGCAAACTCATCATTTTGTCTCGTATTTGCTGTTTCTCTCAGTCCTTGATTATTTACTTGATTTCTAGTCGATGTAAAGACGCCGTCGGGGCTTTTTTCATCACTTGGACGTTTATGACAAAGTTTATTTTCATTATCAATTAATCTGATAATTATTTTCCCCTCAAAATTGGTTCATTTTTTGGTTCATAAAATGAAAAAAAAAGAGAAGAAGAAGAAGAAGAAGAGGCCAGTTTTAAACCAAAAACACCAAATTTAACAACAAATAAATGTTCTTGATCATTTATTTGGTAAATGAAACTAAACCTCATTAGAGCTGCAGCTTACAATTATTGCCATCAATGATGAATCTAGTGGTTATTTTCTTGAATTGTTTGTTCTATAAAATGTCAGAAAATTGTGAAAATACCCAAATTAAATTTGTTTTTGACGCCTGTATTCGCTGCTCTCAGTCCTCGATGAACATATTCTATCTCTGGTTGATGTGAAGGAGCCACTGGAGCTTTTTTCATCACTTTCTGGCATTTTTTAGACAAAATGAACTCAATCTGATGATTATTGTCACGACCATTTAATCTGTCAATTATTTCTACCAGAAAATTGGCTCATAAAATCCCCAAAAAGACATTTTTAAAGCAAAAAACACCAAAATGAATCAGCTTTGATGCTTACATTGTGTCTCGTTTTAGTCCTTTATGGATTAATTCAGCATTAGAGCTGAAACGACCATTTTCTTGATTATTTATTTGGTAAACAAAACTAAACCTCATTAGTTCTATAAAATGTAATTGGTTTGGACGCGTTTTTCTCAGTCCTGTGTGAACATCTTTGGGTTTCGGTCGATGTGAAGGAGCCATTCTGCCCATTTTTCAGTATTTCCTGAAGCTTTATACACAAACGTAGATTCAGCTGATGATTAAACTTTGGACTGAATCTATCATTTTGCTGTTACAGTGAAGAAAGAACAATCTGAAAAAACTATTTACACGTAAGAAACTTCAACCAGAACATATAGATTTTTACAAAATACTTGAACTGATGAATTGATAATCAGAATAGCTGTTGATTAATCAACAGTGAAGCAACTGAGCCATCCGTCTCTATTGACTGTTAATTTTGCAGCAGTTTTAAGTTTAATGTGCTTAAAGCCAAAATACTGTTTCAAAACCAGCTCAATAAGCAAAAAACAGATACAAGGATGAATTAATTTCCGCTTTATGTTTTATTTTACATTTAATGAAGGAGGGAATTCCTGGAAAACTTGCTGAAAACTGCCAAGAATTTAGGTTTTTACCTCAATTGGCAGATGAAATACCTGAAAAATGCACGTATTTAGTCGTATTAATGCAAAAAATAACACGACTCCTGCTTAAATGAGTCCAGTAGATCCACATCATGGTGGTGTTTGTCTGCTCTGTGTGAAACTGGGAGAGTTTAGCTGATTTCTAAACTTTGGTGCTTTTTCTATGAAGCAATTTGTATTTTGTTATTTTAGATATGTAGGTATATTTTTACATGTTGAAATACTGTTTTTTTTTAGATGTATGTCTCACAGGTCGCTGCTTTTATTTCAAAAATACAAACACGCAACCTCGTTTTTTATAGTTACTGATAATAAAAAAAATAAAAAGCTGCATATTTTGGACACCAGCTGTTAAATGGTTTAATAAGCTCAAGAGGTTTGGAAATCTTTTCTAAATGGAAATTAATCAATAAAAATGAGTTTCTGAGGCTTTTTATGTGACAGTAAAGTTTCTAAATGTTGTGTTCTTGTGGATTCGAAGCTGCTGAACCTGGACACTGAATGTAAATTTAACAACAAGTTTGTGTTTTTTCTCATTTCTTTTTTCTGTCAACTGCTGTTTTTAGACCACGAGGTGATATTTACTTCTTATTTATGGGGTAAAACTCTGGTCAGCGTTCGTTTAAATGTCCCACGAGTCCAACATCTGCGTCGGCTTGGTTCCAGGTTCTTCTCCACCTCTTGGGCTCGTTGTTTTACATGTTGAACCCGATTCAGTTGTTTTTCTGCCGAGGCTCTCGACTGTTGTCAAACCTTTTACCTCATCTGCTCCGTGCAATTATTAAAGTGGGAATGTTGCTCAGTCGCAGTGTCTTCGTGTTTCTGTTGCGTAGATTCGACACCAAGTGGTCGTTTTTTAAAGTGAAGTTGTTAATACATTTTGTGCCATGTTGTGTATTTTTCTACATTTTTTAAAACAACTTTAGCTGCAACCAGAGAATATTTTCATTATCGATTAACCTGCAGATTATTTGTAGATCTAAAATCTAAAAATAAATCTCATTGAGTGTTTCCCACAGTTTAAAAAAGATCTAAAATGTTTTTGTTTTTGCTCTTATTTGCACTTTTCCTTCGTCTTTTGTGAACACTTTGGTTTTACTACATGTACAGGCACCTTTTTGGATATTTTTCATGATGTTTAGTCATTTTCTATGAAATTAGCTGCAACTGATGAATATTTATAATGTTCTTCATTTGTGGATTATTTACCACATTGATTGTTTTCTTTTTTATATCTGTGTGTTAAAACTCTGGACCAATATTTCCAAATTAAGTATTTTTTTGAAGGAGAAACACCAAAATGTAGTTTGTTTTCAAGTTCAAGTTCAAAAATCTTTAATATCCCCGTGGGGAAATTTTTGTGCAGCCAGCAATGAGACAGTCACTGTCACAATCACACATGCAACAACAACAACAGAAAACAACAGAGAAAAGACAAGACCGATCACTTATTTAACAAGGAAATAGCAGCAGGGACTGACACTGGTTTTGACACTGATTCTGTGTTTTTCTTCATGTTTAATGAATATTTTTTGATTCTGGTCCATGAAAATGTATGTAAAGGCAACATCTTGGACATTTTTCACTATTTCCTGACATTTATGGATTAATTTAAATGTAAATTAAGAATATTTTTATTATCAATTAATTACAGGATTATAATACCCATTAATTTAGTTGTTTGAGCTATAAAACGTCAGAAAATGGTGAAAAATACGCATCTGTGGGTCATTTTTAAAGCAAAAACACCAAAATGAAGTTTGTTTTTACTCAGATTTGGTGTTCTTCGTTGTCTTTAATGAATATTTTTGGATTTTGGTCCATGAAAATTGATGTAGAAGGCAATTTTATGGATGAATTTAGCTTTAAATTAAGAATATTTTTTATTATCAATTAATTTCTGGTTTATATTCCCCATTAATTTAGTTGTTTGAGCTCTAAAATGTCAGAAAATGGCAAAAACCACCAAAATGTCGTTTGTTCTGACTCTTATCTGCTGTATTCCTGTTGCACAGACCAGCTGTTAACGTTGTCGTCTGTTCTTGTGTGTTTTTGTTGTGTAAACGCCTGTTGCAGCCTGAACAGGAAGTCCCTTCACAGTAAAAGTCGCACTCGGTTCAGACATTAAAGCTGCAGCGTCCTGACAGCTGCGATGTTCCTTTAAGACGTGCAGCAGGCGGCTCGGTCTGGAGGAGGGTTTTCAAACTCTGAACTTTGTCTCTCTGCATACTTTCAGTTGTGTTTGTACCGACGTGTTCTCTGCTGTTTGCAGCTCGACGGGCAGCATGAGTGAGTTCAAGTACTCCCGTCTGGACTTTGCGTTCACCTGCTCGGGCCTGCCCCTGTTCCTGATGGACGTGGTCCTGGACGCGTTGGCCGTGGTGAATTTCTACCAGGAACGGGCCTACGGCAGCCTGGCGGTGCTGCTGGTGCTGCTGCTGGGCTCGTCAGTGCTGGTCCAGGTCTACAGCTGGCTCTGGTACAGCTACGACAACTTCCACATGGAGACCCGGGTGGAGCGCAGCCTGAGCCGAAACCAGCTGGGCCTGGTCCACCTGCTGCAGCTGGGGATTTACTTCAGGTTGTGTAACGTTCTGGGCAGCGAGGCGACGCCTTCTGACTTCTATCTGCAGTGTTTCTCAGTTCAATATGAATATACGTGACTTTAGGTCGACATGAAGGCGTCATCTCTCGTTTTATAGATGAAATTAGCTCAGACTGTTTCTTGATTAATCATTTAAAATGAGGGTGTTTCTCGTAGTTCCTGTTTTACATGAAGCTCGTTTAGACAACCCGTCATGCGTTAGTAATTTTTTAAGGCAAACATGCCAAAATTGTACGCTGTCTAACTTTTATTTACAGTTTTTCTCAGTTATTTATGAACATATTTGAGTTTCAGTCGACATAAAGGCGTCATCTCGGGCAGTTTTCACCATTTTCTCTCATTTTATTGACAAAATTAGCTCAGACTAACTATTGTTTCTTGATTAATCATTTAAAATGAGGTTGTTTCTGGTAGTTCCTGTTTTGCATGAAGCTCTTAAAAGGAGATTATCCAATATTTTGATCATCAGTTATCAGTCATTTCTAAAGCAAAAGTACCAAAATTGTATTTTTTTAAACTTTTATTTGCAGTTTTTCTTAATTATTTATAAATACACATGAGTTTATGTTGACATAAAGGCGTCCTCTTGGTCATTTTATACTCTTATCTCTCATTGTATTGATTAAAATACCAGTAATTACCTTTTATTTTTAATCTGTGAATTGTTTCCCACATTAACTGATTAGTTGTTTGGTCAGAAAATGGTGCAAAATGTTCAAGATTTGAGTCAACTTTTAGGCAAAAACACCAACATTTAGTTCATTTCTGCTCTTTTTCTCGGTCCTCTATGAATATATTTGGGTACTGGTCGGTATAAAGGCACCATCTTCAACATGATTTTCTGACATTTTACAGATAAAAGTAACTGCAACTAAACGTTACCTAAAATGAGGTTGTTTCTAGTTTTGCATAAAGCTCTTATTTAGAGAGAAATACAAAAATGAATCCGTTTTTACTTTTAACTTGTTTTTCTTCCCATCTTTGGCAATTTTAATTGTTTTTTTTTTACTATTGTTTTTAGTTCATAGATGAAATTTGCTGATTAATTATTAGAAATTAAGTTGTTTCCAGTAGTTTTGGTTTTGCATGAAACTCCTGAAAGGAGATTATCAACTGTTTAATTATTCAGTGAAATAATTCAGTCATTTTTTAAAAGCAAAAACACCAAAATTTAATAAGTTCTGACTTTTATTTGGTGTTTATCGTAGTTATTAATAAGCATGAGGTTTGGTCCATGTAAAGTTGGCATTTTGGGCATTTTTCCACAATTTTCTGACGTTTTACAGATAAAAATAACTGCAAACTATTGTTTTCTTCAGTAATAACTTTCACTTGGGTTATTTCTAGTAGTTTCAGTTTTGTCCGAGGCTCCTAATCTGATTTCTTGGAAACGTTCTCCAGTTTTCTGTAAATGATTAACGCTGCAGCTGCACTCTTTACGATAAAACAGAACTTTACTGATCCCAGACGAAGTTCTGGAGCCAGTTATCATCCAGGAAGAAGGACAAAAACATGAGAATAAATGCAGAAAAAGTAGGAATCGTATTAAGACGTCATGGCGAAACAGAAACAAACAGAAGAGAAACTGAAACGTGCGGCGCTCGCATGATGTAATCCAACAGCAGGATCATCTGCTTGTTCCCGCCGCAGTCTGGTGTTGCTGTTGTCGCGGTAACAGAGGAAGTTCAAACAGGAGTCATGCCTCAGTTTCCTGATTCACAGCTTTGAATAGTTTAGAAATACCAGCTGAGTCACTTCCCAAACAAAATGCAGCTCATCGACGCTGTAGAGCTGCAACAGAAGATTATTTTCACCGCTGGTCGGTTTCCCCCTTCAACTGATGAGTTGTTTGGTCTGTAAAATGTCAGAAAACGGTGGAAAATGTCGACCAAAACCAAAGATTTCACTCATTCTCAAAGCAACAATACCTACATTTAGTTTGTTTTTACTCTTTTTCTTTGTCCTCTATGAGCAGCTTTGGGTTTTGGTCAATGAAAAGGTGTCATCTTGGATATTTTTTGACATTTCAAAATCCAAACCGAAAGATTTGAGTCATTTTTAAAGCAAAATCACCAAAATTCCATTTGTTTTGACTCTTACTGTTTTTCTTTTTAGTTCTATATGAATATACTTGAGTTAAGTGAATGGAAAGATGCCATTTAAGCCATTTTGGCCATTTTATAGACAGATTTTAAACCAAAATTTCCTTCACGACAACAACTGATGATTGTTTCCATCGCTGATTAGTCGCTACAATATTTTTCAGATTACCTGGTAATTTCTTTGGTTTGTAAAATGGTGGAAAATGTCAATGGAAGTCTAAAACGACAAATGTTTTGTTCACCAGAGCATACTCCCATCTGTTTCCCAAACCTAAAGATTTGAGTCATTTTTCAAGCAGAAATATAAGATAAATGTTATTTGCTGTATGAATATATTTCATTTTCATTGAATGTAAAGGCGCCATTTTGGACATTTAAAAAGAACAAAAGCAAACTTTTTTCTGATATTTTATGGATAAATTCAGCTGCAAGTGCTGCCTGTAATGGTGGAAAATAGTGTCTCCAAAAAACAAACATTTGAGTCATTTTTAAAGCAAAAATATCAAAACTGAGTTTGTTTTAACTTTCCTGGCCGTTTCTGTGGCTGTTATTATTATTATTTACTGTTTAGGGATGAAACGATCATTTTCCTGATTATTTATTTGGTAAATAAAACAAAACTTCCATTGTTTTGCTCTGAAAAAGGCCAAAATGAAGAATGTCTTGTTTTGGATGGATGTTCAGTCACAGAGGAGGAAAGAAACCAGAAAACATGAACATCTGAGAAGCTGAAATCAGAGAATTTAGACATTTTCATCTTAGAAAACCGATACATGTGTGATGAGAACAGTTGCTGATTCATTTACTGGTTGATAACTGATAAATCGCTGCAGCTTGTAAAGTTGGTAAAAACACACCTGGAGCCGTTTTTCAAAGTAAGACGACGCTTGTTGCTGCTGTAGCTGAGCTTCATCACATCTTGAGCTGAGAACCTTCGGTGCGACTGATTCTGATTTGCTTCTTGTTGTGCAGGAGTTACTGTTTGCTGGACATTTCCAGACTCGCTGTATTCCCAGTGTTTCTCCTCCTGAGGCTCTGATGGTTAGAACCGGTGTTCTGCTCGACTTAACTCGTCCCGTTCTGTCCTCAGACATGCCGGCGTCCTGGAGACTTCTATCAAAAGCTTTTGCTCGAAAAACCCTCAAGGCCAGGCGGTGTTTCTGAGCCACGACCTGACCATGCTGAAGGTCTTTGAGACGTTCTCGGAGAGCGCCCCCCAGCTGGTGCTGATGCTGACCATCAGACTGCAGGAGGGTCGACTGGACGCCGTGAACGGTGAGGTTCTGGTCTCGATCCTGTTAGATCGGTCTCAGTGCTGTTATTGTTACTGGATCCCAGAGACAGAACAAACAGGGATTCAAACGTCTCAGAACTTCATCAGTACAGCAGAAGAACACATCTGAGTTCTGCTAAAAACTGACACCAGATCAGTTACATCCATCCAGGTGTCACAGTCTGAACACTGGATCTGGTTTCTGTTCTGTTCTTCGATCATCAATATCATGGGATCTGTCATAGTTTCAAATTGTCTACAGATGATCAGCTGGTTTGTTCTGGAGGTCCAATGGTCTTTCCATTGTCTAGAACTGGTTCTGACCAACTACCATCACATATGCTGGTATGAGCCTGGAAAGTTTACCCAGAATGCACTTTGTAAAGTTTCCTCTGATCAGAACCAGAACCACATCCAGGGTACCAGTGATTGTTTCTATGACTCTGTGTCATAGACATTAAACTGGTACCACTATGACACATCCCATAATACTGATGCTACCAGCTGCTGACAGAGGACATGAACAGAACCAGGTCCAGTGTTCAGACTGAAACACCTGGATGGATGCAGAACTGATCTGGTGTCAGGTTCTAGCAGAACTCAGATGTGTTCTTCCTCCTAAATGTCATGTGTCTATCTGCTGTACTGATGAAGTTCTGAGGCTCAGAAATGATGGAAAAAGTCCATTAAAGTGATCAATCTGGACCTTCAAGGGCCTGGAGCTCTGGAAACATTCACAGCATGAAGGCAGAACTTCATTAAATAAACTAAAGTTACTGTAGATGAAGAATCAGCTGATTCTGAGGAGGTCTGGGGGAACGTTTCTGGATTTTTTATGGAATGATTCAGTGCTCTGCGGCTCTTTCATTGATTTAGTTTGCATAAGTTGACTTTAACTACCCTCATGACATCTCTTCTTCCTCCTTCTTCCTCCTTCAGTGCTGAAGTTGGTCGGCTCGGCGTTGGCCATCGCCTTCTGCGTGACCACCTACCACCGCTCGCTGCGCTCCTTCCTCCCCGACAAGCAGAAGCAGCTCTTTGTTTCCTCCCTGGTCCACTTCCTGTGGAACCTGCTGCTGATCTCGTCCCGCCTCGTCGCCCTCGCCCTCTTCGCCTCCGTGCTGCCCTGCTTCATCTTCACCCACTTCATCTGCTCCTGGATGCTCCTCTTCTTCTTCGCCTGGAGGTGCCAGACCAGCTTCATGGAAAGCACCGGTGGGGAGTGGCTGTACCGGGCCACCGTGGGCCTCATCTGGTACTTCGACTGGTTCGGCGTGGTCGATGGCCGCACCAGGAATAAGACTCTGCTGTATCACAGCTACGTGCTGCTGGACATATCGGTGCTCTGCGGCGTCTGGTGCTGGAGGATGATCACGGATGCTACCGATGCTGCGCCTCCTCGCCTGCATCCTGCCGTCCCTGCAGCCTGCGTGGTGGCGGTTTACATCTTTGGCCTCCTGGTGAAGGTCGTCTATTACAAATGCTTCCATCCGAACCTCCGCAAAGAGGAGCTGAAACCGGACAGGAAGGACGAGGTTGACACTCGTATGTTCAGGATGGCAGGAGTTGAGCAGGAAGTTGCTCATGGCAATAAGAGGATGAGGAAGCTGGCTGAGAACTTCTACACCTGATCAGCTGACAGGAACTGCAGGAAGTCATGCAGAAGTCAGTGGATCGCTGTTTTAAATGAAGATCACGAGTCTGTGGGCTCATGAAGGATGATGTGCTGCCTGAATAACCACAGATACTGAGGACCTGTTTGCTCCAGAAAGAGCAACACTTTGATGTCTCTGGACACAACAAGAGTATTACATCTTCAGCGTGTCACTTATGTGTAATAGAATCTAGAACACCAGCAGAAATCTGGCTTTCTGAAACACTTCTGAGCTGTGAAGTCCCTCTGAGCCCCAAAACCTGCCACCAGGTTTGTGAACATTATCCATCTCTACATCGCTTAATCCTCACTAGGGTCATGGAGGGCTGGAGTCTATCCCTGCTGACTCAGGGTGAAGGCAGGTTCACCTGGACAGGTAACCAGTCTGTCACAGGGCTACACTTAGAGACAGACGACCAAGCACACTCACATTCACACCTACGGACAATTTACAATCACCAATTAACCTCAGCATGTTTCTGGACTGTGGGAGGAAGCCGGAGAACCCGGAGAGAACCCAGAAAAAACTTTATTCTACGTGTCCCATTTAAAAATATGCCTAAATTAACGCTAAACAGATTCTATGAAACACTAAAAGCTCCTCAGTGCACACGTGGAGCCACGAGAGACTTTTCAGTTAAACTGTAGGACCTAGTGAAAATGTAAATAGTAAAATATCTAGTAATATATATATATGTAGTATGGTGACTCTACATATTACAGTATCTAGAGTCACTATTTATTTCTTGTGTTTGGGAAACTGTTGTAAATGTTGATTCCAGGTTGTTGTTGTTTTTTTTTTTAATTTTTGTGAACCAAAATGTTTTGTAGACAAGGTCAATCTTACTGACCTTACTGCTGGCAGCTATGAAAAGCACATTATCCTAAAACAAACAAAAAAACCCCATAAAAACAATCAATAATCAGAGCCAAAAAAATCTAAAAACTTGAAGAATCCTCATACCTGTGTGACACGTGGTTGCAGCAGAAAAAAAAAAACTAAACTGGTGCTTGTGATTTCATCAAAATCAAACTTTTAACATGTCGCACTGAAAAAATTACCAAAAATCGACTGTTTACATTAAACAGGTTCTGTGAAAAACGAAAAATTCTGCAATTATTGACGCAACTGTGAAGCCACTAGTGAGTCAGCTTCAACCAGCAGTTAAATAATTAAAATTATCTGGGATGAACCGCAGACAGTCTTTACACAGAGCAGAGAGGGACCAAGTAGAGAGACAGATTAAAACTATAAAGACTAAAATATCTACAGTATCTATCAGTGGGGGGCCATGTATTTTCCTCCTCGGCCTTCAGTGGCGTCCTACCTGAATCCAACCACCTCCTAACACCGTCAGTATGAGGCCAGACTGTAGAAACCATCAGTATTATGCACCGCAGACAGGATCTCATGTAGCCGGAATGAATGGCATCAGTAAAGCAGGAAACCAGTTCATCAAGTCAAAAAAAAAAACAAAAACACTTTCAAGCTGCGTGTTTGGAAAATTTGACATATTTCCCAGTAAAACATGCGCAAATGTTCCTCAGAAACTCGTTTCTCTATCGTCGTCTTCGCTGCTAACGCTGCTATTCGTTAGCTGCTAATGCTAACGACGCTAACGGAGGGAGTGTCGCTAAGACTCCCGCTATGCTGTCAAACATCTCTGGTGAGAACCTGCACATCTAACAGGAGCATCAACATCAGCCCGATAAAATGACATAAATATATATTTTACTCACCAGAACCTGTGATTATTGAACACAGTTTCATCCTGCTTTCTTTCATCATGAACAGCTGAGTCACTGCTGAGCGCTTCACTTCCAACAATCAGTCCTGCTTTAGGAGGCTGATGGTCTGTCCAGTCCTGTTTCTGCCATACGTTTTAATTTAAAACTTAAGTTAATGTGAGGCTGAGAATGTCGGCTTGCTTCACTTGCAAAAGAAAAACAAACAGTACTTTTACGATAAAGTTTTAGCTTGTGCGGGTCGCTAGCTTTGGCTAAGCTCACTGACCATCCAATCAGAGGACGTGAAAGCTCTGACGTTATCTGGGACCACCAACTCTAAATCTGATTGGTCAAAGCCACAGTTTCATTACAATGCATTTTAAGCTACCTGTGCCTGCACTTTTGATCCTGAAGGCCTCAGGGCAGATTTCTTTGACCCACGATGGCTGACATATGATTGGATAAAAGTTCTAAGCAGCACAGCCCAGAGACACACTATGAACTAAAGAGAACAGACTGTTGGGAATAATGTAAAAAGACTAATGGGAAAATATCACAACGTAAGTCTGTGATTCTGATGACTTTAGACCAGCTGAGAAGGCCTTGCTGGCCCCAACAACCCACCACTGGTGTCTACAGTCTGGTGACTACCTAGAAGCTCGATTCACTATTTATTTACAGTGTTGGTCAGACTTGTGAGCACTTGGAAAAATATTGTACATGTGGATTCTAGATTTATTTAATTTTTGTAAAACAAAAATCTATTTTATTATTATTATTTTTTTTATGATTGTTGAGTTCAGTTTCCATGGATGTGCAGTACTTTATAATGCAGTGAAAACTGAGTCCACAGTGAAGAAAAATGTGATGGGAGCAAATGAACAGCCAGAAACTGTTCAGAGGGTTGAATCAAATGAATGAATTTATAAGGTGCTACGTTTAACGAGGTTAACAAAGGACAGAAGTTTAATTCACTCTACTGTGAATGTTGTTCACTCACCAGGTATTATTTTAGATGCTAAGAATTGACCTACAGGAGTTTAATATTTAAAAATAACACAGAATACCTGAGAGTCTCGCTGCTTTGTGTTCCTTTATGTTTTGAATCGTCACCTGCTGCCTGAATTTCCATCGTAGCTGATCAACAGCTTCATGCCACCAGCTGTCACAATGCTGACCTGCTGATCCAGATGTGCAAACACTTCTTTATTCAAACTGCTTTAAATGATTGGATCCTGAAGAAACGCTGTCATCTCGCCCGTACTACTGCGTATGTACAGCAAGATGACAAACTTTATTTGAGTTGATAGATCGATGCTGAAAATGTTCTGGTTGAGGACACTCTGTCACCTTCACTCTGATATTATCTCAGCAGAATATAATGTCAAACTGGTACCATTCTTTTAAAAATGTGAATAAGGAATGATGATGTGAATAAGGAATGATGTGCCGCAGTATGAAGTGAACTGCTGCAGTTCTCCCGTAAACCCAAAACTAAACCTGAAGTTCGGTCGATAACCTCAAACCCTGCCTCAGCATTTCTCCGGCTGCACCGTGGCCGCTCTCTGTGATTCCACATTAGGGAAAAGCCGAAACAAAACATTAACGGGATGTGTTTTGTCTGTTTTCAGTCTCTGAAGCTACGCAGGAGGCTGCATCAGTCAGTTTTTATCAAATCAAACACGTTTGTGCTGCAAAAAAAAAAGAGAATTTTGCACTGAAGCCATGCAAGAATGGAAGATTTAACTGTTGATTTACCTCTTTTAGTGAAATATTACTTTTATGTGCTAGCTTTTAGATGCATTAGCAACCGGCAGCTTCCCTCGTTGTTCCTCCAGCATTTCAACATTCCTTCTCTGCTGCTGAATGTCAGATTTGTGCTGGATACGCTGCCACTCTTATGTTTCTGTATTTCTTTTTTTGTGTGCAATAACAAGCAATAAAGACAAACTGGAGTCTGAAACGGTTTAAAATGTATTTACATTGTATTGAGTGTACACAGGAGAACCTTACAGGACTGTGGAGGGAACATAGTGATTACTGGAATTAAATTAGCTTCGATTATTGTAACGATAAGTGTTTGGTTTACAGAATCACATCCGGGCGTCCGCGTGAGACTCAGACCGCCTCCGTGAAAATGAGATGAAAGTACATGAAACAAAAACTGAAAACTGACAGCATTTTAAACGACGACAGTATTTGGCATTGGAAAGAATACAAATAAGAAGAGGACACATCTACTGAAGCCCCTTAAACATTTCATGGTCATTTCCCATGAGATTTACTTCAAAACAGACATGCAGGTAAAGTAAAGAAACAAAACATTCAATAAGCTGAAAATATGCTGAGAAGGTCTAATTTCTCTCATTAGGTAGTAGAACACTGAGCGACCAGGAGGCAGCTTCGCTTAAAGCCGCGCTTCACGACTCGATCTGCGCTTAAAAAGAATACCATGTCTACGGATCGTGATTGTCTCGAAGCGACAAAATCAACGCGAGCTCCTTTTCTAAAGGAGGGGAAAAAAAACAAAAGGGACACTGATGTCGAGGATGAAAAATCGAGTTTTTCGAGGAGACCTTACAGTGCAGACAGAACAACTCAAACAAACGTCACACGTAGTAACAAAAAGAAAATCTTACCAGCAATTTAAGAACAAACAAAAACAAAGAAAAGCGTTATAAAAGTAAAATAACACTTTGGATAATACGACAACGCAGCGATATAGGTATCAAACAAAACAAAACGTACATGTTTCCCTTTGAGATTATGCATACGGATGATGGTTAAAGGCACAATATAAATATGCACAGTCACACACAAACTAATTACACAGAAATACACATTCGTAACGGTCAAGCTGCATGTGTGGAAATATCTTCTTCAGGCTCAGTATTGTTCAGTCGTAAAATCTCATTCAGACCAGGGAGGGTCGCCTCCCGCCGCTTCCGCCGCCGACAAACATCCCTCCGAATACAGTTAACGAGCAAAAGTAGAACTCTATTGCACAGTCATCGTCCTTGGTTTTGGTTTTTCTTTGTTCCTCCTCAACTCAGAAAGGCCGGGGGTCATCGTGTGGATCATTACTCAAAGGTTCGTCTGCAATCATTCTGATAATCGGTCATTTTTCAAGCAAAAACAGTAAAATGTAATTTGTTTAGACTGCTATTTGCTGTTTTTGTTCTCAGTCCTTTATGAAACTATTTGGGTTTTGGTCGACGTTTCAGCGTCACGTCTGTATTTTACAGACAAAATTAGCTCCAATTGACTAATATTTTCAAAATTAGGGCAGAAACGATCATTTTCTTGATGAATCATTTGGTACATAAAATATAACTTCCATTACGGCTGCAACTAACAAATATTTTTTCCTCAAAGCCAACGATTTGAGTCATTTTAAAAACCAAAAATACCCAATTTTTGCCTGTTTTTACTGTTATCTGTCGTTTTTCTTACTCCTTTATGAACATACTTTACATTTCGTAAATGTAAAGGCACCACTTGGTGCATTTTCCTTTATTTTTGGACGTTTTACAGGCGATTTTAGCTGCAGCTGATGATTATTTTCCACAATAATCAATTAGTTGTTTGGGCAAAATCTCACAAAATCGTGATAAATGTCACTCACTTTTTCCCAAATCCAAAGAATGAGTCATTTTGGCACTAAAGTACCAAACTGTAGTTTGTTTTCATTCCGGTTTTCAGTTTTTCTTCGTCCTTTATGAAAATACGTTGGATTAGGTCGATGTAAACATGCCACCTTGTGCATTTTTCACTATTTTCTTGCATTTTATAGATGAAATTAGCTGCAAAAGTTGTTTATTTTCCCCATTAATCCAATAGTTGTTTGGACCGTTTGGTTCATGACCTCCAACCAGAGCTCATACATAATAATTCTGGTTATTGATTATTGATTGATACTGACCATTATGGGTTAAGAAAGTAATTAAAACTGTGCAGCCTTCGCTCTAACTTTTTCAACCCAAAACGACATCTTCAACACGCGTGTTTCCACCGACCCAGACTCCCAGATTGTCCTTTTTTTTTTGCATTTTTGCTTGAAAAATGACGAAATAGTTTTTAGTTCTACCTACAGGAAAAAAACAACAACAATCGAGACGTCCATGTTTGTAAGTGAACTCTGACTTTCCAACAATAAACACTAAAGTCGGTGGCGCTCACGTTTCACCGCCTCCACTATCAAACACTGAACATTCAGAAAACACAGATCAGTTTGTTTTGTCAGCAGTCGTCCTGCTTTTCACACCAAACGACAAAAACCACCTCAAACGTCAGAAGCCCACTGTTCTACAGACAGACTGTGCCACTCGTCCTGACATGGAAGTTTCTCTCTTTGTGGGATTTCAAGGACACTTAGGACTGTGCTCTGAGGAGCCCGACGGTCAGGCCGCGGAAATATACAAAGATTGTCGTCGCACTGCTGTGAAAACCAGGAATCTCCAACGTGTCAGAACTGGTGAGAAACTGTTCTGCTTGTTTCAGGTGAAGAGCTGAAGACCGATCATGTCTGAGGCTGAAGACGTCCAGATGACAAAAAGAGCACTGAAGCCGACTCATAAACCTTCTAAACCCCAAAAAACATCTGAAAAAGGCTTTTATATTTGAAAAATGGCAAAATTACACCATTTATCAGACAATGTGGCTTCTAATCAAGTGCAGTTCTACCGAATCTAATGTTAAAATCCTCCGAACAGCAGCAACAGTTTGCGTTGACGAGATTCTGTAAAAAATGAAAAATTCTGTTCGACTCTGCGCAACCGTGAAGCCACGAGTGACTGAGCTACGACCGACAGCCACCTGACAAAAAATGTGAAACTTTTAGGTTGAACTGCAGGCTGTGTTTAAACAGAACAGATGGAAATAGAGACGAAGGTTAAATTGGAAAATATCTACGGTACCCAGAGGCACCGTTTGTAAAAAAAAAAAAAAAGCGAATAACTTTAGTTTCCACAGAGATGCAGGACTTTAAATTGAAGTGGAACATGAGCCAAAATGGAGTTAAGGTGGTTCATTCAACTCTGCTGAAGACACATTCAAACATTGCTCCATTTGCACAATTAAAGGCTTTGAGTTCATCTACAAGCTTTCGTAATCTGGAAGCTTCACAGCCTCAGTCCGAGAAGCACCGGATTCAGCTGCTGCTTAGTTTGTTTTTGTTTGTTTGGAGCTGAAAACAAGTGAAACTATGAGACCGGCATTTAACTTCCAGTGCGTGGAGTCAAAGCACAACGTTAAAGCCTCTTTCAGTCCTTCAGCTTCACCTCACATGGCGACTCGTGGTTTTCACCGGACTGCGACGTGACTTTTAAGAACCCGTGCACTGCTTTGCTAATAATACTTCGACTATCGGGGCAGAAAATTCCAAAGCAAAGTGCAACTCGTCTGAAAAAGCCCCAGTTGTTGCTGAGACAAATTCTGTGAATGGTTAGTGCATCTTTTTTTTTTCATCGTGGTGTCTTTTGAGGAAGGATGACTCACGACACTGCCTGCACATGCCCATGACTACGAATCACACCGACTGCACCGCCTGCTGACGGATGCTGTGGTCTGGTCAGGTCAGGAGGGGAGGTCACGACCAAGTCACGGTATTTCAAAACCCCATCTCGTACCTTTTGTTAACTGGCTACATGAGACGCAAACCAAAATTAAATAGAAGTGGGATTGTTTTGGTGCTTGATGACTGTTTGTGACTTTACGGTTTGGAAACCAGATTGCAAAAATGATGCTTTCAAGTCTTACGAATGCAAAAGAAACGCGAAGCTTCTACAGCCCCGAAAGAGAACGCTGATGCAGAGCAATAGAACCAGGAGGGATAAAGTTCGCCGCAGGGTGTTAACCTGAAGAGAAAATAAAATAAAGGCCATGGAGAAGGTAAAAAACAAAAAAAAAAAACTAAAGAAAGTTATCCCTTCTGTGTCCAAATCAGTGCCGTGGTGAGGTTAGCTGCCGTAGAGGAGGGAGCGCTGGGCGAGAGGAACCTTCATTCAGCCGACCAGCTCGATTCTCAGTCGGCTCTGACCCAAAGTCCACCTCAGAATGTCGCACAGTGAGAGCGGGTTGGTTTCTAACAGGTGAGTGTGTGTCGTCGGGGGTCGTGGAGGATTTTCTTCTTCTTCTTCTTTCACTTTCTCTCTCCACACAGTTTCACTCCACAAGTCACCGGCGAGACGTTTTTTTTTTTTTGTGTTTTTTTTTATCGTGCGACATTCGACAGCAGCTCCGTTACAAGAAGTCCAGTTCCAGCGCTTGGTGGAGGGACACGAGGTCGCCGTGGGTCGAGATCCGCCAGAAGGGCATGTTGTGCTGCACGGGGGAGGAGACACAACCACAGCCGGGTTAGACTCACAACAGGATGGATTGGTGCTCAATTAAATCACTGTGGTGAATGAAGGAATCAGAGAAGGATGCAGTGAGTCTGGAAGCAGGGATGACAGGAAGCAAAGAAAAGAAGCTGCGGTGTGAACTTTAATGCAGCCACAACTCCAGATCCTTAATATCGTATCTACAACTAGCCAGCAGTGACAGACTCAGGCTCCACGACGCCCATTTCCACACTTTCCCCTGATTTTATTTTATTTTTTTTAACTTATGATCATTATACACTTACATCTTGTAATCTTTTTTCAGGTCCAGACACCTTTTAAATTGACAAAACTAGAGTTAACTGGCCTTTCTGTTGCGTAGCAGGCAGCAGCTGATTGTCCAGACAGTTATTAATCCTCACTACAAGTCTGTTTGGGAAGAGCGTGCAGGACTCTGGACATGATGCCGTCTCTAGTGTTTGTACTGCTCACACCAATATTTATCTCTACCTGTAATTTGGATCAGCGGTCCCCAACCACCGAGCCGAGGACCGGTACCGGGCTGTGGGTCATTTGGTACCGGGCCACACAGAAAGAATAAAAACATTTTATTGGTTTATTTTATTTTCGTCGGCGTCTGCAGGGTGTTTTATTTTGAAAAATGACTAGCTCGTCTCCATTCACTTCCGCTTGTGCTTGTTTACGACACTGACTCTTTCAGTTTTCATGTCTGGCCGTTGAACGGCGCCATCAGTCTGCCGCTGCCGAAATGAATAAAAAAACAAACGTCTCTGGCGAGTTTAAATTTAGCAATAAGAAGTAACTTTATTTTTTTAATAACAATTTATTAATAAAGAACATGATTACGATTTGTTATGTGAGTAGTAGGAAACCGTCTTGCTTGAAACTGGTCCGTGGTGCGAAAAAGGTTGGAGACTGCTGATTTAGATGATTTTATATTGCATCTCTACAATCATATATAAGTGTGTCCGTTCTGTATCATGCATTTTACTGCTGCTTCTCCTTAGAGTACCTGTACTCTCTGCAGTGACAATAAAGTTGAATGTAATCTGAAAATCTAATCTACGTCAATAAAACTCCGGTGAACTTGCCCACACAACCTCTGACTCCATTTTTCTTCTCACCACAAGAAGTGTTTTGTTTTTTTGTTTGTTTTTAGGAAAAGCATGCTGGACATGATGCAGAGAAGTACAGAGCAGGAGGAAAACCCCAAAGCATCAGATTGAGACTATTTTGACAAATACTAATTTTAGTGGGCCCGGCCATTTTTGTGTTTCTTTTCCACTCAGTGTCCAGTCCATCCGGCTCCTCTGGATGATGTTTAGTTAAGCTGCGTGACTGCAAACAGCCAGCGACTGTGTTTGAACTCACAACTTTGTTTGACTTGCAGACAAACAACAACAGGAAAAAAAAAAAAAAGGAGGGCAGAGGTAAGTCAACATTTACCTGTTTTGCTGCAAACTCCTCATCTCTGCCGTCACCGATCACCACATACGTCACTTTTTTCCCGAAGCGAGAGACGATCCTCTCGAAGCAGCTCTCCTTCCCTGCATTGAAGGAAACCGACAGGGTAAATGTTAATAATCTGCACTGCATGTGTCTAGCACAAAAAGCACCGATTGTGGTCGTGCGTACCTATTTTTGTGGCACTGTAGATGTTCTCGATGGGGAAGACGTCTCCCAGACCGTAGAGCAGCACTTTGGCCAGAGCGGGAACCAGCTGAGTGGTGGTGACCAACACGTTCATACACTTCCCCCTGGTGGTGGGAGTCGGTAAGACACACGTTAATAGACAGGAAGAAACATGAAAACACAAAAGCTTCTTCAGTTTGTGCTGTTTAACTCAACTGTGGCTGATCCAACACCAATGTTATTGAATTGCCTCAGTATGAGCAGAAACTAAATATTAAATGGCTCAGATTGGATTGGAGGCCAAAAAACTTGATCAGGAGATCTAGTAACAAAACTCTGCTTGTAGTTACATGTATTCAAGGTGAGCTCAGCAGAAGGATGTAGAAACAGGAGGAGGCGGACTTTAAATAAAACTCTGAGCCTTGTTTAAATATCCGTGTAGACACGATGTAATACATATTCAGCCTCTGAGGTGCAGTAGAGCTTTTTATTCACTCTGCATGACAGGTTGAGCTCAAGAAACCACAAATAAGAAGTGTGTTGGTCGAACCTGGACTGGATGAGCAGCAGAGACTTGAGCGCTGTGCTGAGCCAGGCGTCCGTGACGTTCTCGATCTCAGACTGAAGCCTTAAGAGCAGCTCCCTCTTCATGGGACTCAACAGGCCTGAAAGACGAAGACATGCAGAAGCTTAGTACACAACCGCTATGCTGCTGACGTGTAAACGTACATGTCCTTCCACCGAAAAACATAATGCTGCTGCTAAATATACAAAATCCAATCACAGAATGTAGCGTAAACACACAATGTTCTGTTTATTTTGTCCCCAATGAGCTGCTTTGTTTGTTTAACCAGGAAAACATGTTAAATTCTGATCAGCCAGTTGTTTACTCATCTTCTCTTCTGGACGGTGGAACTAATCTTACTGTCGTTAAACGTGTTAGCATTAGCTAGCATTTAGCGTGTGAAAAAAAACAACAATGGAGGCGCATGTTTAGCAGCAGACTGTTTTTCTACTTCTTGTCAAAGTGCCAGAGTAGTTTCACATGATCCAGACTAACCCCCAACGTTCCTTTTGTAGTTGTTGTAGATCTCTTTTAGCCGGCGGTAGCGGAAGGCCAGTTTGCGCATCCACTCCACCCCTCCCTGGACTCCGGTGGTGGTGGCTCCTGAAGCTCCTCCACCGCTGGGACCGTTAAAGCCATCCGCCAGGAAGTTGTAGTTACTGAAGTAGGTTAAAAAAAAAAAACACCTGAGGTCAGTGGGATGATGCTGAAGGTGATTTAGGCGTTACAGGACAGCTTGTAACTCACCTCAGGTCCTGTCCGTTGTCATCAGAAGCTACATCCTCGACATGGACTTGATCGCACTCCTTGAAGGAAACAAAAAGCAGAAAATGGGAGGATTCTTCAGATTCTTTTACTTGTTTTGTAAGAAATAAACATGAAGTATTTATAAACCAAACATTCACTACAACATTCATACACAGTAAGTCTTTTAGAAACAGCTGGGAATGGCGTTTAGTGGTATACTGATACTAGCAAAGTACTGCAACACCCTGCCGTTAAAACCATACAGTTTATAAATACCTAGTTTATTAGTATTGGTGCTAAAAGAATGACACCATTAGGACAGAAGCAGTGTTTCTGTAGCTTTTCTCTGTGGATGGCCGGATCCATCCCCAAGATAGGGATTAAGACAATAAAGGTACTTCTTAACTTATCAGTATTGGCTTTACTTAAACCCAACCCTGTATTTACATCCACCATCACACAAGTACCATAAAACAGCTACGAATCCTAACTGATCCAGTTTGTGGTTGGAGGTCAATAACATCCACATTAGTCTCTGTCATGGTCCCGTTGCTGCTAAACTCCCATAATGCTCTCTGCTGCCAACATGACCTGCCTGTAGTCTGAGTGACGCCTCCTCTGGTCTCAACAGTATTAAAAACAGTGAGAGGCTCCACCTGGTGGAACAACCAGGTACTACAGCTGGTCTACGATACATTTTCTGACATTTGAAACCCGTATTTTCATCGTCTACGACTAATCTACATCAAAGAACAACCTGGATGCAGAAGTGCTTTTTTCTTCCTGAATGCATTTCAGAGCTGTTTAGTTGTCAAGCATTTACAGTCAATTGTTTTTATGAAGCTTAATCTAACTTAAAGTATGTAATATGTAGAAAAAAGGGCACTGGATTGAGATTTGGAATTTGCTGATAGTAAATATTACTTGGAAGACTTGGACTGAATCAAATCGGGGGGCAAAGACGTGCAAACATGTTTAGTATTACTGCAGATTTGCTGGTTTTGGATCAGTCCACTCTGTTTTCTAACTAATTCTATGTTTTTACCAGGTGCTGTGACCACAACTGAAAGCTGCTTCACGCGGCTGCAGTTCAAACGTACCTCCAGGTCATTGAAGAAAAGATGGGTGTCTGCCAGCTCGAAGATCAGCTCCTCCATCTGCAGGCCCAAATTCAGCACAGTGGCTGGATCCTGAACAAACACAGACCCACATTCAGTCTGTGGCACAACAAACTGCTCTGTGTGTTGCGTGTTCAGAGGAAACAAACCTTTCCAAACTTCTGTGCGTAAGAGCCGGTGAGCAGCGAGTGGAATATGATGATGGTTTCATCCAGATCCCACAGAAAAATGCGCTAAAACACAAAGATTAAAACATGATGTTAAAATTTGCACTGGAAAGCATATTTAACGCTCTTGTTAATAACAATTCAGTCTTATTAACCACTAAATCTTGCATCACTACGCTATAAACAAACAAACATAAACTGTGGAAAGCTGGCAGCAAAGGAGCCACAGAAAAGTACGGAAAAACAAAACAAAACAGTGGAATACTACAGCATCAACAAATAAAAAAAAAACAGGGACTGTTACTGATTTTATTACAAATAATCTGGGATTTAACAAAAATTAGAGTTTTTTTTTTAAAACTACTTTTCATCTATAATGTTCTATAATATTTTCTGATTTTAATAACAGCAATTATCTGTAATTTAATTAAATGTTTGGTTGATTTACATGCAGTAAAATGACGTAACTTTTCAACTAAACATTGCAAAACAACGAGTTACCGAATTTCCCCTCAGGGATTAATAAAGTACTTTTTATTCTAAAGTATGTCTATTTTATTCTACCAGTAAAAACACATTATTTACTATATTGACCAGGATTTTTACAGTGACCATGTAGATTAAAACCCTTTATTTCCTAAAGTTTTCTCGTCATTATCTGTAATAATGCAAATTAACAGCAAATTGTTAAAAAAAAATAGAAAATTATAGTAAAAAAAAAAAGACTTTAGCTTCGTCTCTACCTTTAAAAACGAGTGCAAAAATGAAATGTAAGATTGATCTTAATCGATAAATCAATATTAACGTTTCTTTTCCTAATTTGTGATATAATACAAACTGTGGCATAATAAACGGATCACAACAGTTTTACCTTTGGGGTAAAAGATGTGACGCATCAGTCAAAACAAGCTGACGAGGTTAATCGGTTTAGTTTTAACTTTAATGAACCCGCTGCCCGGTTACCTCCAGGTCGGTGTCAGCAGGTGGCGAGCTGTCGGACTTCTTGCCCTTTCCTTTGGCTTTTCCCACCGAGTTCCTGCGGCCGACGTCGTCCTGATCTCGAGCTCCGGCGGGCAGAGCGACGTTCGTGGGGAGAGCTGCACCTGCCGGGAGGTTCTCAGGCGGAGACGCATCTGAACACAAGACAGCGAGATGAGCACGCGATGAATTAAAACAAAATCATCTATTACACAGTATCGTCAAAGAGGGGATTACGGGAAGCTGTTTGACTAAAATTACATGATGTCAACCTCGTTGTTCTGATCAGAAAGTTGGAGATTTCTGTACTTTAGTTTTGATGGTCAGAGTAACAGCTGCAGATATTTAAAATGCTCTGATGAGTTGTCTGAATTGTTGTGCATTACTCATAAGAGGCTTCCCACTGGTGTTAGCAGAACCGGTACTCCTGCTGTGGTGGACAAGATGCTAAAAATATGTGGTAAAAAGAAAAAAAACTTTGTGAGGAACACCAGAGACTTGAGGTCCAGACTTACTAGAACTTTGTCCTCCGGCTGCTCTGACATGGAGGTAAAACGGCTGCTATGAGCTTTAACAGGTGCATCGTAGTATGTTTGAAAACCAAACCATCTTCGACTCGCTGTAGCCTCTAATTTCTTAATTTAAGCTAACAACTTTGACTTGGCAGCATTACGGTGCAAAAGATATCCACGTCTTCAGTCTGACCAGTTTAAACGAAACATATGATTCTACAACGGACAGCATGGAGGAGTCCCGCAGCAGAAGGTGCGACCACCACGAGTCCTGAGCTCCTCAAGTGCAGCAACATAAAGGTAACCTGGTCTTTCCTACAGAAATGTAGCCTGTTGCTCTGTATATATTTAAGGTGAATTCCTGACACTGTGTGTTTCCTACAAATGCGTGTAATACCCATCATGCCGCAGCTGTAGGGTTGCAGCTATCAGTTATTTTAATAATCAAGTATTCTACTGATTGTTCCGGTGATCAATCAAGTAATCAGATTTAAAAAATGTTATTAAATTATGTTAGCTTAATTTAATTGTGATACATGGTTTTCTCTGCAGGTTATTTTGCTCTCCCTGCCGCTCACCATCTTGCATCTGTTTTGCAATCTGCACTTGGCATGCACATTACAGCACCAAAAGCAGAAGTGAGCGGGCTGTGCAACAGAAACCACCGTCTGGGCGGAACACGGGCGGACATCCGCACTGCACATATAGTGTAATATATAGGGGATTAAATGGAGCCTGGAGGCAGAGAGTCTCGCCTCGAGGCATTTTAGCAATCGAATTACTCGAGGCATCGTTTCAGCTCTACACAGCTGTACATGCTAAAGGTGCAAATAGTATTTACTATAACTATATGCTATCCTTACAGTGCTTCTGTATCATCTAGCTGCTGTATCGAGGTAATTTTTAAGGTGAGGCATCAATAAAGTTTATCTGATAGCCTAAATACACACAAGAACCGTATTAAGTTCTGCAAGAAGCTTAAAAAAATAAAATAAAAAAATAAACTTTGATGCCATTTCTGCACTTTGTATGAATGTCATAAATAAGGTGTATTCATGGCGTTACTTCAGCCCAGACAGTAAATGCTGCAGAACAAAGCAGTGACAAATACAGATCAAAACTGATCACACAGTGGGTCCGAATCAGCATCAAGATGTGCAGACGAAAGACACGAGTCGGACATAAATCAGCTAAAACCCACCTCTGGGAGGCAGTCCAGCTGAAGCAGCCTCCTCTGACTTCACAGCTGAATATCCAGCGACGCCGACACCAGCGCTGTGCTCGTTGCTGCTGGGCAGACCAGGTACGTAGCTGGGAGGCAGAGCGTAGTACTGGGAGAACTGGCTCTGTCCCAGAGAGTTGTAGCTGCTGAACTCCTGCAGGAACACAAGATGTAACAGTTATTAACATGAGGAGGACGGTGGGAAAACACTGACAAACATTCTGGAGAAATAATTCCTCATCAACTGGATTCAGCAACTTCAGGTTCTGAGACGGAAATTTCAACAAACTAAACTGGAAAAGCAACGAGTTGCTGTGAAGGTAAAAGGCGTAAATACTGCACTTGGTATAAGCTGATATTTTAAAACACTTACATAAATTGGAAATGTTTCGGCAGGCACAGGTTACCTGATGTATTTGATGCATCACACTGTAACCTTCTGATCTCCTACCAAGATGTTACAGCACAACAGGATGTCATCTACTTTCCCACATTTATATGTATTTGTGGCACATTTAAACTTTTTGTCAGCATTAAATCACAGCATGAATTTTGAGTATTGGTTTTCTTTTGATCATTTTAACCCCACTGTTAGGTGCTCCCTCCCTCCTGTTTGTGTTTCTGCTCATTCTGTGTTAGTGGCCCCGTCTATCAAGAGTGGAGGAGTGGCGTTGGGTGCTGTCGCTCTCCGGCTGGTTGTTGCTGATCTCTGACTGCCTCGATCACACCGGCCGGCTGACTTCCTGTCAAACATCCACCGCCACGTCAGCACCTTCACCTCGTTTCATTTCAGGTGTTTGCTCTTCCTGGATTGGAGGATGGGGGTCTGGGTAGCGTTTACGGGTTTTTCTTTCCAGTGGTAGGACAGACTGTTTATCCTGACTTAGTCTAGAGGGGAAGGTACGGCCCACTGCGAGGCTGGTCTGGGTTTACGTCTACCAGCCTCCGGACGCTTGTTTTGTGTTGGTTAATTGTAAATAAGACTTGATTCATTTTACACTCTCCGGCGCAGCGTCCTGTGTTTCTGGCGACTTGCTCTGAGGTTTTAAAGCAACACCCATGAACCCCAGAATGACACCGTTTATCAGAGCCAGAAATGGTAAAAGCACAAAAATAACTGGAGCCGTTTCTACTTTTTGTGTTGTTTTGTTAGAAAAAAAATATCCTCAGCTTAAAAATCGTGAAATTTCATCCAAACGGCTTTATTCCACACATCACCTTCTAAAAAAAATTGCCAAAAATAAACAGTTGGCTTCAACTAAATTCTGTAAAAATTAAAATAAGTTCATTCTGCTTTGCACCACTGCGAAGCTTTCAGTCACATAGAAAAAAATGGGCAACTTTTTGGAAAAATGTTGGACGCTGATTGCAGTTTCTTCAATTTTTGTAAAGCAGCTCATTAAAAGAAATAAACCTTTCCTTTTGTTCAATTAATTAAACCTTCTAGAAGTGTTCTATGGCACAGAAAACATCTCTGAGTTCTCTCTCCTCCAGTTGTTCCGTTTCCACAGAGCTACAGGATTTTATGATGCAGTGAAAAATGAGCCGCAGTGAGAACGGGAGCAAATAAAAAACGCTGAAAACTGCTTATTTGGTGTTCAGGGGTTGAAGCTGCAATAATATAAATTTTTTCAAGGTTTCATTTATTCTGATGGTAAAGAAAAACCTCCCTTATCGTGCACTGATCAATAAGAAAAGACAAATCCAGAAGCTGTTGGTGTCACTGAGGAACACTGACACACCTGGTGGGCGACGGCCGTGGAGGCTGTGGTGACGGCTGTAGCTGAGGGGATGTTGGAGTACACGCTGGATGTTGTAAAGCTCGAGCCTGGAGACAGAAAAAAAACTCTTTACAACAGAGCCAAAGACAGAAGAAAAAAAGGTTTGTCTTCATGATGTCTGCAGTGACTAACAACAAGAGAAGGAAACAGAGCGGTGCCGCTGCAAGTTCTCCTGTGTCTTTGTGTTGTTCAGGTACTTGCAGACAGTGTGGCAGCGTTATCTGGTGAGGCAGAGTGCAGCTTGCCTTGGCTGGGGTATGAGTAGTGCAGCTGGCCTGGCTGGGTTGAGGTATATGCGGTGCTGAAGCTGAGAAACCCAGGCTGGCCACCAGAGGGCGCCTCAGGCAGCCCTGTCTCTGTTTTTATGCCTGGCCACATAGCACCTGAAGAGATGGAAAAGAGCAACGGGAAGCAGAGAATGAAAGAGGCAGCGAGAGAAGTGGGTCACTGAAGACGGGCCCAAGTTAAAGAAACCGGGTCCTCCAGTTAAGATGTGTGACGAAGCAGAGGTCAAAAGCAGTTTGATTCCACAGCGCCAAAGCACAGTAAGGCCTCAAAAAGCAAAGTAACGCAGGTGTGATGCTGGTTTTTAGTGAGCAGGCTGTTAGAGGAGGCTCGAGCACTAACCGAAGGGCGGGAGGCCGTAAGTCTGTCCGGTCTGAGGGAAGGCCGAGTACACGGTGGACTGAGCCAGAGGAGGGAAGGCAACCTGGCCGGTGTAGGACGTCACCGCTGGGCTGAAAGAGAGAGCCGAGGGTTAGAACCTGCAACAAGACTGGGTAAACGATATCAAACTACAGGCCTACTATCTAGCTTTGTTTTGTTTTTTTTACACTGAAGGTAACCATATGGACCCCAAAAGGTTGGAAAGACGTGTTATCATGTGAAAAATTGATAAAATGACACCATTCATCAGCCAGAAACTGTAAAAACAGACAGAGCCTTGTGAGAAAGTCAGAAAAAATGATCAAACCTAAACCTAAACTTCACCAAAATCACTTTATTTTACATCTCTTGTATGGATTTCTTCAGTGCAACTAAAAACGATTTGCTTCTTTGCACAACTGTGAAGTCATGAATCACTCTGCTACAACCAACCGTCCCACGGCACAAGTCTATGGACTATTCGGCTGAAGTACAGGCAGTGTTTTCACAGAGCAGATAAAAGACAAGCACAGAAACAAATCGGAAAACCAGCTGGATCAATGAAATAAAATCGTCAGTCAAAAAAATATATTCATCGGAGCACATTGCTAACAGGTGAATCGGTGGTTGGCAGTTGGCGTCCCGGTGGGGGCACCCCGGATCTTTCTGTGTGGAGTCTCCATGTTCTCCCCGTGCAGCGTGGGTTCTCTCCGGGTTCTCCGGCTTCCTCCCACAGTCCAGAAACATGTTGAGGTTAATTGGTGATTGTAAATTGTCCGTAGGTGTGAATGTGAGTGTGCTTGGTTGTCTGTCTCTAAGTGTAGCCCTGTGATAGACTGGTTACCTGTCCAGGTGAACCTGCCTTCACCCTGAGTCAGTTGGGATAGACTCCAGCCCCCCGAGTGAGGATTAAGGTGTATAGATAATGGATGGATGGTAGTGAGGGACTATGAGACTTAAAGCCTTTAAACCCCAACCAAGCAGCTTCTGTCTCATTTTTCACTACAACATGAAGTCCTACACCTCTATGGAAACAGAATGAAGAAGGAGAGAGAACTCAGAAATGTCGTGTGTGCAGTTTGACAGTTCCAATAACAAAAATCATAAAAAACAAAAAAATCTAAAGTTGAATATCTTTAATTATTTTACAAAAATGAAAAATCCCAGAATCGACATGTAGAACGTTCTTGAAAGTGTCGAGGTGTTACCGAAACTCAAACGAATGATGTGTCTCAACATGCTATAGATATTCTAAAATTCACATTTTTACAGCCTCTACAAACGAGGTGTTTTTCACTCGACTCTGCAGATATTTGTGGAATAGATCTGCTTCTCAATACAGCATTTTTTGTTTAAAGACATGCTGCATTGATCTCATTGATCCTGCTACTTTAACTTCCTCCGAGTCTCTTAATTAGTTTCTGTGCTCGTCTCGTCTCTGCTCTGTGTAAACACGACACACACACACAACAGTCCCTTAATATTCTGTCACGTGACTGTTGGAAGCAGCTGAGGCATGCGGGGCGACATCAGGGAGCACATCTGCTCAGTGCAAAAATATCCGATAGAACGGTACCACATACATGATTGGTTCGACAGCCATCGGAAAATTGAAAAACCTCTTTGTTTTTACAGCTCTAACATCTTTCAAACCAGCAGGCAGATCTCAGGGTTCAGAGGGTTAAATCTGCTCAACATCACAACATGATAACTGATACGATACATATCTGATACATATGAGGTCCATGCAGCACTTACTTGCTCCCCTGATAAACCTGTTGGCCGTATTCAGATGTGGCCGTTGTGTCGGCGGCTGTAAGAAAAAAAGAAAAGAAAAAGAAAACGCTGCTTCAGTTTTGGCCACAGAAGCAGCTTTCTGATTTCACTGACGGTATTATGTGTTCGTACCTGGATGTGCGTACGAGTTAATCGAGTCGTCACACGTCTGAGATGCTGCTCCTCTGTCCGGGTTCGACTGCTCGTGTTCACCTGCAACTACAGACCAAACGTCGACGTACATCGTGGCAGTATTTCTGGGCACTGTGAGCTTTTTTTTATAAGATAACATAACATTAACATTAATGATAACGTTTTCCTCTTACCTGGATCCAGCTGGGCAGTGGACAGAGCAGAATACGAGCTGTCCTGCTCCGATGACGCTAAAACAGCAGACGGGCTTCCATCGTCGCCCAGATTACTGAAAGAGCAACAAGAATTCACCGTCATTACAGAATTACTGCACTCAGGCTGCAGCCGTATAAGGAACAAGAAAGCCATATTTTGGAAAAACAAACACGATGGAGGAATTATTTTTTTGAGAATCTAATTAAAAGCCAAGTTTTTCCTCGATGCAGTTGCCCTCCGGATGATGTGAGCAGCAGTTTAAAAGATTAACCAACCTCTGCTCTTTCTTCAGTCCACCGTCGAGCTCAATCTTGGCCTTCTTTGCCTGCACATGGACAAGTTTATATGAATTTATGCTTCACGAATATTACATGCAACTTATTTTCTCTTAATATTGTAGCTAATAAAGTCACATGATAACAAAAAGACGGTTAAATGTGGTCAGAGTTCTACCATCGAGACAATTAAACTGTTGGTACGGACTCAAAACACAGACTGAATCTGCTCCTCACTACAAATAAAAACCATCAGTGCATCTACATCTACGGCCATAATTACATAATACACAGACTGTGCTGGGAACAGGTCAGACACAATCTGCAGTGCTGCAAAATTACTGTTTAATTACTTTTTTTTTTTCTCCTTTCTGCTCTACTTTCCAAATCAAAAAGCAGAAACAGATGGTGAATCATCAATACCAATATAACATCTTTTAATATTCTATTATTTATACTATTAAACTCATTTGGACATTACAGTTTACCACAACCACACATATTATCTTAAAGATGCTTTTTTTTTTTGAGAAACTACATATAATTATGTGCAAAATTGGCTATTTTGAGTTAACTGTCTTTATAGCTACTCAGTCACATCCTAAAACCCACCTAACTTTAGTTCCTCTAAAAGAAAAGTGAATGTGATACAAGTCAGATGCAGATTAGAAAGTTTTGCACAATCTGCAGTGCTGCAAACTTACAGCTAAACTACTTTTTTTTCCCCACTCTTTCTGCTTTACTTTCCAAATTACAAATCAAAAACAGATGGAAAATCATCAAAACCAATTGACCAGCCTTTTATATTTGATCTTTTCTAATATTTAACCAACGCCTTTGCCTCTTACACAACTAAACGTATTGTCTTAAAGATGCTTTGTAGGGAGTAAACTGTTTAGAATTATGTGCAAAAACAGCTGTTTTCAGTCAGTTGTTCACTCAACTCTAGTTCCTTAAAAAGAAAAGTGAATGACATGATATCTGCACCAACTTCACGAGCCAAAGCACACGTTTCTTTTCCAAATACAAAACAAAACATACATACGGTGCACCAGGAAACAATGCACAGTTTGGCTTCGGCGTTGTGTTTCCACTCACCGGCAGCTCCTGCGAGTCGTCCATCTCTGCAGCAGAGCGACCCGACATGTCTGCACGCTCAGCCTACTCTCTGCAGCCGGAGAGCCTGTCGGGACCCTGCTTCACACAAACACAGCAGCACAAACACACAGAGGCATGGAGTAAATGGCGGGAGTGGAGCCTTATGTAGCTTCCCGACGCGACGTCTCCCCTCCCTCTGTCCCCAAAAAAAGAATATCAATGAATCCCTCTCCTATCGCCGGCAGATCAGAGGAAGTGGGGCAACCTGCTCTGATCTCCAGCACGAGACCCTGCAGGTGAGGCACGTGCGGCGTTGACGTTACCCAGCGCCCCACCATTCTTTGTGTTCACCGCGGGATTAAGGCTGCGTGCCACCTTACATGTGACCTAACCTACATTCTGCGAAAACATACTCTCCAGAAGCTTTAGCTGCTCAGGTGCAAGCTGTCATATCAATAGATGCCCCAGGGGGATAAGATCTAATCTCGTTTTGTCCGCCGCTCACTTAGCTGGCCTTTTCGCCACAGCTGCAGAGACGGAACATTTATCTAACTGACATAACGTAGACACAGAAAGAGAAAATAGGTCAGACGGCAAATTTAAAACCTCCACCGATGTGCCAGCTAGTTGTTAATGGCGCACGTTCTGAATCAGAAGTGTGCCGCCTTGGCTGGCCGGGCCATTCGAGTATATGTGAGCTTATGCAAGATTTATGTCGGAAAAAGGATTAAACTTGACGAAAAAAATAGAAATTATATATTTCAGCCAAAGCGTGCATCACTTTAATTCACCGTATGATGCCAAAAGTCACTGCACTGACTCTCAGGCTGCAGTTTTTTCAATAATAATCATTTATCAAACCAGAAAAGTCGAGATCTTAAAAACTGTCGTCCCTCCAGCAGTGAGCGCGCCATGAAGCAAGTCCAATGAGTCGGCAGGTTTGTTGAGCCTAAACTTTTCTTCTCCTTTAACCTGTTAGATCACCATGGCAACTGATGCTGCTCTGGAGGAGGTTCTGTTCACAGTTTGGGATTTAACGTTTATCTGCAAACGTGTCGAGCTGTAATCTTATCGAAGGAAGTTGTGCGGTTACAGTGTCGCACACTGTGTGCATTGTGTTGCCACGGGAACCTACATGCATTCAGCTCAACGCATAAATACGTTTTTATGTTTGGTCCGGATTTGCTGCAAAGATCGTTTCACGCTGCCGTTACTGCAACAGACAGAACACAGATTAGAAAACTGACTAGTGTACAGGTATTTATCACAGAAAATGTCCAATCAATAACATTAATTTCACTTTGAGACCTAAATGCTGATGTTTTAAATTAATGAAGTTTAAAGTTTCAGAGCTCTAATGTGCAGACGTAAGTTAGAAACAAGCAGCTGAGTGGGAAAATAAAAATATTCTGTTTTCCACCAGCATCTCTGTCTCTCTAAATTTTTAGTGTCCTCATAGCTCTTCATTAGGATAACCTGTTCCTCTGAATGAAATAGGCGGCACGTGATTGGTCCATTTTGTGCAGAACTATGCAACAAGATGCAGAAAAAAAAATCATCAAAACCAGTCCGGCTGTGGCCTCATTGGGGGTCTTGTTTAATTGACAAAAAAAAACAAAATCTTTGTTAATGAGTTGTCCATCCATCCATCCATCCATTTTCTATACACCGCTCAATCCTCAGTAGGGTCGCGGGGGGGCTGGAGCCTATCCCAGCTGACTCAGGGCGAAGGCAGGGGACACCCTGGACAGGTCGCCAGTCCATCGCAGGTTAATGAGTTGTGTGATTCTCTAATAAGCTCCTTAAAGGTTTTCTCTAAAGACAGACGTAATGTGTCACTGATTAGAAGGAAGACAGACAATCTTCTAAGGCGGCTGCTGATTTTCAGAAGAGCTGCTTTATAACAACAGTTCAATTCTTAAAGGCGAAGGAAAAGAGCAAGGATGCCCAGTTCAACCAGACCCAGGCTGGAGGAGGAACAGTGACCTATTGCTGTAGTTAGATCAGTTCCCAGCACACTAACCTTCCCTCTTATTACCACTGTGCAGTAACACACAATTTATCACACGTTATATTACAGTTGTTTTCTTAGGAAAAGCACATTTTACAGTTATACTGTCTACTCATGTTTATATATTAGGACATAGTTTTCTACTCATGTTTATACTTTAAGGTCATATTTTTCCACTTCTGTTTATATTTTAGTTGTAAACTAAAAACTAAACTGTAAACAAGTTGCCCTCTGGGGATCAATAAAGTATTTCTGATTGGACAGACCTTTCTGTGTTGTTGTTAGAAACACGAGCAGCTCTTTTAGTCTGATTAGTGTTTGAATTACTGATGCAGCCTTAAGAGTTGATTCAAAACTCAACTCAACAAATGGGAACACATCACTGCAGTCCTGGCTGACTGAGTTCAATCTAAGATGCTCTTGATTACTTTTAAATAATCCCTACATGCTCCGGGTCTACGACTTTTAATCCCTCTTCCTGCACTTCAGCCGCTCAGACCACAAAACTGGCTGCTTTTAAAAGTCCCACAGTCCAGGCTTTTAGCAAAGAGGAACCTGGCTTTTAGTCTTTTAGTCTTTTAGTCCCGACATCGTGCAACAAGCTTCCTCTTACAGTCAGTCAGTGCATCAGTTCAACAAGCTGTTAAAAGCCTGTTAAAATGTATTTTCCAATGCTGTATTATGGCCTTTTTTTCATGTTTTACTGTTGCTCCTTTTCAGTAAAGCACCTTGGAGATCCACTATTCAAAGATGCTACAGAAATAAAAGCTTATCACCATTACTAATAATGTATTTGGGGTATCGGTTTATAGGATTTGATGCACCTGCACCTCGTCTCCTGGACTAGCTCATAGTTTAAACTGGCAACTCTGGTCAAGCTCACAAGTTTGTGGAGTTTAAAGATGATTCTAGCTGTAAATCACCAGTAATTAAGAGTAAAAAACCTTGATTACACGTACTGCTAATTTGACTAGTAAAACTGCTTTTTCTTTATCTTGTAACACGTCTTCATCCGACAACACCTTTTAAACTACATGTTGTCGTTTACTGTTATGCACTAAAACACTAAATCAAATATCTTGTACGTGAAAACTTACTCGGCAATAAAAACCTTTTAGATTCTGATGTGGGCTAAGCACAGAAAGAAAATAGGACGGCCTTAGTTTGCAGAGAGCAAAGCGTCTCACATTTTATGCTGAAAAAAACTAAAAATAGTGCAATTGTTAGGTTAGAATTGTAAGATTTCTGGGCTACAGGATCTCAACAACGTCTCTGCAGCAAATGATTGTGCATACATGTAGCCTTGGGACAGAAGTTTCACTCTGCAATTATTATTTTCTCTGTCAATGAATCTCTAAATTAATCATAACTGATTCGTTATTGATCTATAACATTTTAGAAAAAACTGAAAAATGCCCATCAGTGCTTCCCAAGATGACAAATGTCTTGTTTAGTTCACAACCCAAACATATAGAAGAAGACAGAAACCAGAAAAACAATCCTGTTTATGATGTCGAAAACAGAGAATATTAACTGACCAATCACTGCAGCTATAGTGGTGCATTCTGGGACTTTACAGGTGATTTTTGTCCCCTCTTACCATTGTTTGCTGGACTATTTAAACTGTTGTTCACAGGGATTTCAGATCATTACTATTGAAGACAAACCAGGTGGTTGTTAAAATGAGCTGCTCTGGTGTCTTTGTGGTGTGAAAACATTTTAGTCACAACTTCATACATTATTCTAACCGCAAATTATCATAAATAATACTAATTCCAAGACTCTCACCAGGATAATAAAGCCAAACATGAGCTAAGAAAGAAATGGGATGACCTCACTCTGCAGAGAGCACACTGTCACAGTTTAGATCCATTTTGCTCTGATATAACTTTAAAGAGCCTAAAATCTATTTATTTGTGGACTGGGTAAAAGCCCCCCAGTGTGTCAGGATCCTAAGGACGCCCCTGCTGCAGATGGACACCGCTGCAGGCGGGGACAGGCTGCATCAGCTCAAGGTAAAGGTCCTGTCTGTGTCATCTGCAAATAGCTAGCCGACTACCGTTAGGTTAGCTGCATTCAGCAAATACTCGAGCCGAGGACAGTTTGCTGTGAAGGTGACGCCAGGCATCAGACTACTTCCTGACAAGCAGTGGCTTCGGTTTCACTTTAAACCCAACGAGCCTGAAACATTATTCAAACACAACGTCGGAATCTTGACGGGAGCTACTAATTCACACTAAGTGGCAACTGAAAAGGACACAAATAAAGCGCACCGTACCAGCATTTAGACTCCACCGTGCAAGCTTCCAACAACAACGCTAGCTTCTCAAAGCTAGCTAGCGGTTCTGACTTCACCCAGCCTGACCAACTGTTTTAAAGGAGTCCCATCCGCTGTCGATTAGCGTGAGTTTGCAAGTCTGGAAGTAACAGTAGCTTAGCTGTACTTAGTTTGGCCCGGGCATGAAAGTTTTCCGCTCCAGAGATTAGTCGGGCCCAGCAGCCATCGGAGTGGGTACAGAAATGGCAGCGTGTGGAAGCATCTCCCTCCCGCTGCACCAAGCCGCGAACCCGAACACAGAACCAACACCCGGGCCACACAGAGGCGATCAGAAGCGGTCTTACCATTGAAGGAGTGAAGCAGAAGCGCTGTTATCGAGGCGTCTTCACACGAATCCACACTGACAAGCTTTGTCTGTTGTTAGGGAACACTATTTGGCAGGAAGTTGTCGTCGCGGGGCCTACCGCGCATGTGCGAACCGTCGATTCACAGAAAGCTGTTTGTTTGGCGCGATGGGAGGCGACAGGTGCGACAGGTGAGCGATAAAAACCGCAGGCATTTGTCACAAGAACAGGTGAAGCCGTCAGGTATGTCTCACGGTTTTTAACTGTTAGTGAAGTCACGTTCATGTCGAACAACTTGTTGAAAATTAATATAAAAAGGCACTTTGTGAACTCGTTTTTGGCTACTTTAAGCTGGCTGAGTTTAGGCTAATTTGTCATTTTATTATTATTTTTTAAAATAAAAAATAGTGTTAAAATGAAAAAAGTTATTTTTTTTGTGCCATATTATTTTAAAAGCTATGCAGTAAAAAAAACAAAAAACTAAACAAAACAAAACCCAACAACATTAAAATAAATTAATAAATAAAAATCTGTTGTAGGTGTGTATAGGGGCTAAGAGCGCAGAATGATGCACACTTGATAATACGACAAGTGACTTTTTATAAAGTTCTAATACCTGCATGTTAATACTGAAGAATTTGTTGAGAAATTAACAGAAAATTGCACTTTGTGTATTATTTATTTTGCTAATTGTAAGCTAGCTGTGTTTGGGCTAATTTGTCATTTTCAATCGTATAATATACAGTTGAAATAAGTATTGTTTCTTTGGGACCTGATAAAATTCAAGCAGTCACGTCTAATTAAAGATGAAGATAAAAACATAAAGGCTGTTGTAGAGGCTAACTTCAGTTCATGCCTCCTACATGTGTGTGTACAGGCTTTGCAAGACACACATGCAGTTCTGTTCAGACTATAGCTGGTCACATTACCCTGATATGAAACACAGAAAAACCCACAGGGCAGTTTTACAGAATATTACAGAAGAGGTTTTATAGAGCACGAAATGATAAGAACTGAGAATTTTAATTTTTTAACCAGCTTCGTTAGATAGGCTTTCATTTACTCAAGCACAATAGACATTTTTGTTTATGAAATAGTTTAAAATAACATAAAAATGCATTGTTTTCAAATAAGCCTTTTAATGTACTGCTTACTTTTGTATGTAGTTACCCCCCAATACCCAGAGCTGCAATGATTGATCAATTAGTGGTCTACTAATAAATTCATTGTCAGCTATTTTCATAATCAATTAATCAGTTTGAGTAATTTTTAAATGAAAAAAATGTCAAAATTCTGCATTTTGTATAACAAACTCATCGTGTACTTAAGAAACTAATGATGAAAAACTTTGATCTATTATGTAAAAGTTGCATCTATGACATCTCAAACAAAACCGTTTGCTCAGATTGATTTTAGAGATTTTATTTGCCATTTCTGACACAGATTACAGTTCAGTATTTCAGTTGATCATGTAAATCTTCTTATTTATACAGTAGCAGTGGCATGAAAATAAATACACATAAAAAGTACAAAACAGAAAATTAATGCTTCCACATATGGAAGAAAATTATTAGAACTGTGTGTTATGTTGTTGTCGTTTTTTTTCTTCATACTTTTAGCAGGCTTGGAAATTAATTTTCTGTTTGCAAAACCCTAAAACGCGGAGACACGATGCAGCACAACAAAGTCGCAAAAGACCCCTGTTTGAGTGGCACTCCTCCCCTAATAATTTAGTGAATATCAGAGCATAAATTACAACTTACACTTCTGATAAAAGCTTTAACGTCTTTAATTAGTCCTTCTGTGTTGACAAAATTTTATTGCACTTTCCAGAACCGTATTACGCAGCAGGACAGTGGCTAAACTGCTCCACCTAGTGGTTCCTCACCAAGTTAATGAAGCACTTTCCAGATTACTTTCTAGAAAAAGGACCAGAAGGTTTTGGGAAAAGAGATATGTACAATATACATGGATCAGGCCGCCTTGGACAGACACAAGACATTCACAGTTCTTCTCTACATGATGCATAAATACAAACGTTTGTAATCATAGCGTCTATAGTTTTTCTGGAGTGTTTGCAATAAAACAGCAATCACTCCCATTTAAAATAAGATCGATGTACAGTATGAGTGTGCTATCACTGATGTGGGCCGATTATTGCTGGTTGAACTCTGTGTCACACTCTCCGGATCAATAAGACAAGTCCTTCATAAAGTTTGCTAACAGCAGATATAGTTTAACACAGTTGCTAGCAGTACATGAAAACAAAAAAAATAAATTTATTGCCATAGATGAAATATAAGTTTCATAAATCTATTTATACGTATATACACAAGGAGACATTTAGAACTCATGTACACTAAAAGCAGAACCTTCTTCAACGTAAACAGTGAACGTTTGTGGTTATTAAAACATGGAAACTCTTTTACAATAAAATATATGTAACGTCTTTTTTTCTACACAGTACAGTAAAAGTTTGATTTTCAGTTTATGAGGACCAACAGGTCAAAAGAAAGTGTTTGAGTTAAAGCATACATCTGTTTGGTCCGAGTGTCACTAGTAGCGTGTTATTGAAATGCCGTTATTCTTTTGTCCAAAGATATGAGATGAAGAGTGGAACGATATGCAGCTGTCTAATCCAAAGTCGCTGATGCTTGAAGCAAAATGTTTCACTTCTCGTGACCCTTGTGTCCTCAAGTGCAATCGAGCATTCACATGAAAACAAAGTTAAGAAAAACAAAAACAGCTTGAACATATGTAGACATTTCATGAAGGCATCACCTATAACGGCTAGCGCTCTGGTCAAAAGTCCAAACAACGGAAACGGGTTTTGTGTTTTTGTTTTTTTTTTTTGTTGATAAATCTGGCTCTTGCCAACGCTGCCGTCCAAACTGCCTTTTGAACCTCAGGCACTTCCTCCTCGTGTCACTTCGCCGGTCGCTGTGAGGGATGTTTCACGGCCCCACGGTGCATCCATACTTGGCACGCATGTATTGTAGTTGAGGATGGTCGAGGCAGAAGCGTGGGGCCGGCGGTGTCGTAACATGAGAGTCCTCCATCTGTACACGGGTCATGCACAAGATCCCTCCAGAGCTGTTCATGTCAGTTAGATCCTCTTATCTGTAACGGCGCCCCAGACAGGCTGCTCTGCTGTGGTCCATGTGTCCAAATCAATCCAGAGCTTTAGTCCTGGTTTCTTTTTGTTCTCCGTCAGGATGAAGGTGTTCACATGAAGGAGTGGTCCGCCGGAGGTCCGTAAGAGAAGCCCGGGAAGGCTCCGGCTGCCTCCTTGACGCTGCTGGTCACGGTCAGGCTGTCGGTGCACAGAGAGGAAGAAACCGGCAGGTGGGTGAACTCTGGGTCGAAGTGTCGCAGGTCTGTGGGACCAGACTGTAAAACAAAAAGGGAGGAGGGAGCATTAGACATGTAGTCAAGCAAAAGTTCTACCCGACATTTATTTAATCCACTGTTTAAGTCATCTGGAAAAATGCTCGATGGAAACAGCTTCTTAAATGTGAGGATCTGACTTAGGATTGTAGACATGAAACAGGTAATCAGACAATTAATTATCTTATTAGAATGGCAAGAAGATTCTTAAATACTACTGTTTTTAAGATAGTAAACTGATTGGAATTTCCAAGCACAGACAAAATGATCCACTCTTAACCCTCTCAACCCCAAATCCTGCCGACAAACTTGAACGGCACGTTGTTGTTTTTTGTCAGAAACTCTAAAATTACACTGTTTTTCAACTACGCTTACATTAATCATCTGTGATGCGAAGTTCTGTTGGTAAAACTTGACCGAATCTAACCTTAAAATCCCGGCATTTCATCCAAGTCGCTTTTATTCTACATGTCTCATTTTTAAAAATCTGCAAAAAACACACCATTTGCAGTAATCAGATGCTCTAAAAAACAAAATCCTGCACTTTAGGGCCCAGCTGTGAGACCATTAGTGACTGAGCTGCAGGTTGTGTTCACATAGAAGAGTATGAAAACAAGTTAAAAATGAAAGTGATCAAATGTCTACAGTATGTAGAGTCAACATGTGCTTCTTGAACATCAGCATCACCTGTGAGCACTTTGAAAACACTGCACATGCTGACTCCAGGTTTTATCGATTTTTTTACAAGTGAAAAATCAAATAAATTAATATTTTTTTAAATATTTATGGCATCATAATTGTGCCATGCTGCTGGGTTCTCTCTACTTCTATTCATGTGCAGGACTTTATAATGCAGTGAAAAATGAGCCCACAGTGAGTAAAAATGACTCAGAGTTCGTTCAGAGGATTTCTGAATGTAATTATTCACTAGAATCCAAGCGTGAACGTACCACTGAGGGAACAAACGGAGGCGTGATCTTCTTGGCCATCAGGTCATCCCAGTTGATGGGGGAGAAGAAGGAATGGTACTTGAGTTCAAGCTGCAGGGAAACAGAAACTAGATGAGCACACCGATAGCGAACAGGAGCCGTGGATCCGTTACGGCGTCAGATTCAGGCCGTGCCACTTACAAAGTCGTCCTTGACTCCCAGCCTCTTGGTCCGGTCCTTCTGCAGGAGCCCCTCGAGCAGCTCGCGGCCGGCGTTGGACACGTTGGGCTTCAGCACCGGGGATTTGTGCAGGATGTTGTTGTACATCTCAGCGGTGTTACGACTGTAGAAAGGAGGCTGTCGGAGAGAAAACGCACTGTTATGAGCAAACAGCTTCATGAAAACTGTTTTGAACAATAAGTTCTTGAAAAGTTTACTGTTAGTTTACAGAGTCCGCCTGTTGTGCTTCATTACAGATAATATCCAGTAAAATTACAGAAAAAAAGTATTAGTTTACAATTTAATATTTAAATAAATAAGAGAACAAAACTGTCGATAATGTTGACATCAAAATTTAAAGTATTTCCAGTCCTGTTTTCTTTTGTCTTTACACAATTTGTACTGTTTATAAATCATCACAAATATTTTTATTTTACAGGTTTTTTTTTTAAAGATTTTTTTTTTTTTTTTGAGGTTAACTGTTATTTTACAGATTTTCCTTATTTTATTAAATCACAAATAACATCTAGTAAAATTACTGATTCATTTTTTAAATAAAAGACCAAAAATGTAGATAATGTCCACATCAAAATTCAGTATTTATGGTCCTTTTTCTTTTATATTTACACAATTTGTATTGTTTCTAAAATACTACTACTAATAATAATAATGATAATAATAATAATAATAATGTTATTTTACAGATTTTTTTGATTGAAAAATTCCTGAAATTTATTTTTTAAGCTGTTTTAGTATTTTACTGATTTTTCCCCCCCGTTTTATTAAATTACAGATATCTAGTAAAATAACAGAAAAATATTAATTTAAGTTTTAACTGTAAAAGATGTCCACATCAAAAATCTGTATTTTTATAAATAGCAATTCATTCTTTTACAAAGTGTGACCGTAAAATGACACTTTGTTTATTTTTTAACCAAGAAAAAAATCGAATTGTTTTACAGATATTTGCCATTTTCTTCCTGTTTTAGTTGCTCTTTGACAGATTTTCCATGTTTTGTTAAGTCGGGGCTCATATTTAGTAAAATCACAGCGAAAACTATTAATTCACATTTTGGCAACAGCTTAAAAACTTCATTATTTTACAGATATTTGCTGGTATTTTCACAGTTTTTATACTTGTTAAACATAGTTTTTCTGGCACCTTTGCTGCCAGATTTTTACTCTTTATTTCCAGAATGTTTTTCTTTTACAACAAACTGAGTTAATCTCATATGAACAAACAGGAGAATGTCACTCACTAGGCCGTAGAGCATCTCGTACAGCACCGATCCCAGACACCACCAGTCCACGGTGCGGTCGTACGCCTGCTTCTGGAGAACCTCGGGGGCCAAGTACTGTGAGGACGGCAACAAGAAAACATCAGCACAAGTCCTGGGTGGTGTTTCTGCGTCGATGCTGAGGAAGCATAAAGATTAGTTTCGTACCTCAGGCGTCCCACAGAAGGTGGTCGTGGTCCCAGTGGGCTCCAGGCCTTCTTTGCAGAGGCCAAAGTCTGTCAGGACAATGTGACCCTGTGAGTCCAACAGGATGTTCTCAGGCTTCAGGTCCCTGTGACGAAGAAGAGGAAGAAGAAAGGATTATTCAAAATGCACCAGTGATGTTCCCTCCATGTCGTGTCTACAGATGTCCACTGGGGGGCGCTGCAGGATCACTCCTTACCTGTACACAATGTGCAGAGAGTGGAGGTAGCCAAGTGCACTTGCGATCTCAGCGGCGTAGAACCGGGCTCTGGGCTCCAGGAAGATCCTCTCTCTCTGGAGATGGTAGAACAGCTGTGGCGATAAAAAAACAGAACATCTGTCAGCATCAGACAGGCTGTCGCGTTCTGACCTGATTCTGACTCCTGAGCGACTCGGGCTTCACCTCGCCGCCGTTGACGTAGTCCAGCACGAAGTACAGCTTGTCAGTCGTCTGGAAGGAGTAGTGCAGCCCCACCAGGAAGGGATGTTTGATGTTCTTCATCAGCACGCTGCGCTCAGCCATGATATGCTTTTGCTGCAGGCGAGTCAGAACACGTATCACACTCTGTTCTCACGCTAAGAGAAGGACAGCAGATTCAGGCGACTCAAGGCTCTCACCTCTTTCTTCTTCAGGATGATTTTCTTCTGCAGCACCTTGACAGCGTAGTATTTGGTCGACTCCTTGTGCCGAGCCAGCAAAACCTGTATCCAGGCAAACATTCGCATTAGTATCGGTGTCACAGACAGGATGTTGCATAAAAGGCGAGCTGCGGAGACACGCTCACCTTTCCGAAGCTGCCTTTGCCGATGATTTTGAGGTAGTCAAAATCACAGGGTTTGATCCTGACGGAAAGAAGCAGACAGAAAATTAGGGTTTGTTTTTACAGACACGTGGTGATGTTTGCCTCAAAACTGCAGCTTAGAATAAAGAGAGTTTACAGGCTACTTACTGAGTGTCCTCTGCCAGGGAACTTCGGGAATGTAGGCACATCTGAAAGACATGACAGGAGGAATTTATAGGAGAGCTGCCATATTTTATAAAAGAAGAGTCGGATAATAAAGAGCCATTCTGTGCTTACCGGACTATCAGGAAGCTGGTCGTTGTCAGCTTCCTCCTCGTTCTGATTCTCGTCAATCTTGAGGAAGTTGTTAACTTCAGCACTGAAAGAAAACACAAAGAGGACTTTATGAGCAGCTCTTACCTTTTCTTTACAACTTAGTTTTTGAAGATTTAATGTGCCAATCTGCTCGTCATGCACCCAAACACCAGGTCAGATTACAGCCCTTCTTGGCAATAAAACCGGGTTCTGACTTTGGATGATTGGATTAAGGTAAAGGTTTGTAGGACTGAAAAGCTGAATGGGTTCCTCTGTGACCGTCTGAAACTTCCAGGTCAAGTTTACGGCGGCTCATCGTCGCTCAGCTTCCTAACCTGTCTGAGAAAAGCTTAAGCCGCTGACCCATGACAAAAGGTTCAGTCGGACCCGCGGGACTCGGCGTTCCAGCTTTGGGGCCCTTTTGACCCCGAATCCTCTGCAGGGACTCGTCTGGTACCGCAGAACCCCGAGAGTCCGGGTTGGTGCGACGGTCCAGGCCGTGTGTCATGTAATAATTGAATTACAGGTTTATCCTCGTCTAGGGTACAGAGGGGATTTGCTGGAGAGGTGATTATGCAGTGGAGAGATTGTGAACGAGCTCGTCATGAAACGACTATTCTTGCCGCGACTTCTTGGACTCAGATTATTCCTTTACTGGAATGTCCTGCCAAACTCAGGTGGCTGATTGGATTTGGAGCATGAATGGGCCAGTGATCAGAGATAAATACTGGAGCACCCAAAGCAGGAAGCAGCGACGGCCAGAGCGGCTCAGTTCAGGGCCAGCTTTCCATCCCAGATCTAACGCTAGTGATGGATATACTCACTGTTGGCAGATATGTGGGGTCGACACCAGCTTCTGGATGAAGTCATTCAGCCCCATTTTCCTCTCCTTGATGAAAGCTGCAGAGAGGGGAAGCCTTGACGTCAGTGGAGGAAAGCATCAGCCACACATTTATCAATCAGCACAAGAGGAAGCAAACGTTACAATAAAGAAGGAAAAGCACATCAGTGTTGGAGCCGTAATCCGCAGTTTCCAAATATCCCCTCATAGTGCAGATCTGCGTGTCGTGCATGGACCTCTTATGCTGCGGGCTTATAGGTTATGCAACCACTTGGGTCACAGATTGAGACACCAACAGTAGTGGCGGCCAGCGAAGCATTTTCCATCCCCGATCCCCATTACAGCATCACTTCTCATATTTTTTAGGCGCTTAATTCCAAGTTTTTCCGCAGTAATTCAACCAAGACAGAAGATTAATTCACGTCTTTGCGGCTGTTCTGCGCACTTCTCAGGCGCATAAAATCACTCAGAGGTGCGATCTCAGCTTAATTTACATATCAGGTCTTAATTGATGAATGCAATAATTGCGTAATGTGGCGGCTCACCGGTGAGAACGGCTACGATGCCCCTCATCTTGCAGTAAGTCAGGTCGCATCCAGCCTCGGTCACGGCCATGTTGAGCAGGTATCCGACACGAACACGGCGCGGGAAACAGAATGAATAAAAACCTCAGCGATAGATCCTCAGAGGCGCCGATCGGTTATCAATGAGCCGCTGATCGATACACGCGCAGGACTCGGTACGCTCGCGCTCCGCTCTCGACTGGCGCTGCGCGAGCCAGCCGCGCGCTCTTATACGGAGCACGTGGTCACCGGTGAGGCGACGCCCCCAAGCTCCGTCATCGGCGTTGCCGCGGCAACGGCCCGCGGGCGTGACGTCACGGGATTCCGCCGCAGCCATACTCTGCCTGCAGGAGGCGGGGGATGACGCGGAGAGCTCACCGCAGAGGAGGAGGAAGAGGAGGAGGAGGAGGAGGACCCCCACCGCCTCCTCCTCCTCCTCGGTTTCTCTCAATGGAAAATCTCCAACTGGCTGCGATCACCGTGAACACAAAGGCGTTAAAATCTGCCGTCGTTATGGAGAGGAGCTGCAGCAGCATCATAACAGCATCAGAGCCCAAATGTGCTGCATCTCAGATCAATGAAGTCTCTCAGAAATGTGTGTCACGACTCCTGCATTTCAGCTGCAGCCTCTCATCCCCGTAACCCACATAACAGCCGTAAATCAGATTGACTGGTGACACCGCTGCACACTCGGGGCTCTGGGATGAACAAATAGTGAAAAATAACCTTTCTAATGTCCGGCAGCACGAATCTCCAGATGTCTTGTGTTGTCTTGCTAACACTACAAAACCTCAAATTAAGCAGCTTAATATAAAATTGTCACATTTGTGCAGTAAAAGTTTTTCTAAAATAATTATTAATCTGTCATTTGATTGTCAAACATCACGACAGTACGAAGACCAAAACGGTGCTGCATCCATCCGTCCTGAGATCAATAAATTCTCACAGCGTCTGCAGAAATGTGTATCACGACTCCTGCGCTTCAGCTGCAGCCTCTCATCCCCGTAACCCACATAACAGCCGTAAATCAGAGTGACTGGTGACACCACTGCACACTCGGGGCTCTGGGATGAACAAAATAGTGAAAGATAGCCTTTCTAATGTCCAGCAGCACGAATCTCCAGATGTCTTGTGTTGTTTTGCAAACACTACAAAACCTCAAGTTAATCAGCTTAATATAAAATTGTCACATCTGTGCAGTAAACATTTTTTAAAAATAAGTATTAATCTGTCATTTGATTATCAAACATCACGACAGTATGAAGACCAAAACTGAGCTGCATCCATCCGTCCTGAGATCAATAAATTCTCACAGCGTCTGCAGAAATGTGTGTCACGACTCCTGCGTTTCAGCTGCAGCCTCTCATCCCCGTAACCCACATAACAGCCGTAAATCAGAGTGACTGATAGCACCGCTGCACACACGGGCTTTTTGTTTGTGTAGAAAATGTCACAGAAATGGTGAAAAAGGCCCAGATTTCACCTCCAGATGCCTAAAACCCTCATATAATCAGTTTACGTTCAAATTTGACAAAGTAATCCATCAAATTGTCACAGCTGAGCAGTAAAAGTTTAATGTTTTTCTAAAAAAAAATACTAAATCTATCACCCAGTTATCAAAATATCAAGTATCATGCACAAAATGGGGCTGCAAGGCGTCTCAGTGTTAGTACCGGTGAGGACACCCGGGATCTTTCTGTGTGGAGTCTCCATGTTCTCCCCGTGCAGCGTGGGTTCTCTCCGGGTTCTCCGGCTTCCTCCCACAGTCCAGAAACATGCTGAGGTTAACTGGTGATTCTAAATGAATGTGAGTGTGCTTGGTTGTCTGTCTCTAAGTGTAGCCCTGTGATAAACTGGTTACCTGTCCAGGTGAACCTGCCTTCACCCTGAGTCAGCTGGGATAGACTCCAGCCCCCCGTGACCCTGGTGAGGGTTAAGGTGGAGAGATGATGGATGGATGCTCAAAATGAACAAAACAGTGAAAATGGCCTTTATAGTGTCCTTCAGCAGAATCTCCAGATGTTTTGTGTTGTCCAGCTATAACCCCATGAGAATCAGTTTCCCATCAAAGTTGACAAAATAGGTTATTTGTTATTAAAAAAAAAAGACTAAAGCTATCATTTGATTATCAAAATTTCCAGTATTGCGGACGCAAAATGTGACGCATCCTTCTTGAGATTATTACATTTGTCCTCTCTGCTGTGTTTTTAGCCTCTCCTGGCAACAGCTGCAGCCCAAAGGCCCAGATAACAGCCATAAATCAGGAAGTAAATATAAAAACACAGCACTGACAGAGCAGTTTCCAGAAATCTGTATGTGCCTTTCATTTTCAGAATCACAAAGCCTCTACTGTCACTGTAAGCTCTGCATAGAACAACTAATCAATAAGATGAATATAAAGCATCTAATATAAATGCTGAATGTAAAGCTGAGTGTGGAGATGAAGCTCTGTGAGCAACAGGAATGGGTTGGACCGGTTCAGCTGTAACACTGCACCAGAGAGCAGCCCATAATAAGCAGCGTTTTATCGCAGTTTTAAATGATTAGTGGATTTCAGCCGCTGACAAGGTCAAGGTTGTGGAGGCGACTCGGCTGGACGGAATTATATAAATTCAGAGAAACTGCAAATGACATCATCTAAGCTCGGACCCGTCCAGCTGTCAGAGACGTGGTCCACTAACCTTGTAAGTTACATAACCGCGCCATAATGCAGATGGCCGTAGAGCCCGAGGACGAAGCGCAGAGCTCCACTTTCCAGCCAGTGTTGTGATTTCTCAGCTGAGCTTATTGTCTGTCTGTTGACTCAAAGTATTGTTTAATCACTCGGTGACTGTACTTTACTCGGGCACAGCTCTGTGACTCTTATCTGCAGTACATTTCCATCAGTGTCTGAGTATTACAAATAGGAATGCATTTAGCAATATACTGTGTATTACGTAATATGTTGTTATAGCATTCACACTGTATCAGGCGTAATAGTCACATCACATTTCTTTCAGTGCTACAACTTGTGTTGTATTGTTTACTTTACTTAAGACTTCCTGGATAAGCTGATTTTTTGTTTATTTTTATTGATTTTTTCCAGTAAGTATGTATGTAGAACACGTCTCCAAAACCTTAAATCTCCAGATGTCTTGTGTTGATTGACTAATACTCCAAAACCTCAACATAATTACTTTATTATTAAATTTGACGAAGTAACCCATCAAATTCTCACATTTGAGCGCTAAGTGTTTAGCTTTTTGCTAAAAAAAAATTACTAGAACGAGCATTTAATTATCAAAATAATACATTTTTGTGGAAGAAAATATTCGCTAAACATAATAATAAGTAGAACTGTCTCTTGATTATCAGAATAATACGTTTTTTTGTAGATTTTTTTGTCAACCAAAATGGAAAACTGTCACTAAATGAAAAATACTCTTTATAATGTTTCACAGTATGAATCTCCAGATGTCGTATGTTGACCGACTAAAACTCCAAAACCTTAAGATCATCAGTTTACTATTAAAGTTGACGAAGTAACCCTTCAAATCGTCACATTTGAGAGCTAGTTGTTTAACATTTTGTGAAAAACAATACTAAAAATACTATTTAATTATCAGAATAATCTAGTTTTGTGCCAGACAATATGAGCTAAAAGCACGAACTGAATTGTGGCAGTTAAACAGTTTTTCAGGATTTTGTGGGTGGACAAACAAAACTTGCCTCTATGATGCACTGGAGTCACAGTTTGCATCCCTCCTCCCCTTAACTCTATGATATTAGAGAAAATGAGAAAAACCTGAGTGGACTAGCATCAGTGGTACAGTTCACCTGTTCGCTATGTTTTTATCCCACACATGCGTCTTTCCTGGATGGCTGAATTTGCAGAGCAGCTCAGCCTCTGTCTCACCGGCTGTAGGTTACTGTAGCAGATCGTTTTATTCACAGCTGTAAAGTGACAAAACTACTTTACATCTACAGCGTGTTCGTGATTTCACATCTGAGCTGTTTGATTTAAACAAACTAAGCTGTGTTCGGACAGATCGTTTGGACTTGAGCAGACACGCCCAGCATGTCGGAGCAAAGACGACTGCTTGTTCTCTCACCATTTTAAAACCTAGTTCTGCATACTTGGCAATTACGTTAATCACTCAAATTCGGCTGGGTGGTTAATTACAGTTTTTTTTGTGGTGTGACAAACTCAGAACACATGTCTGTCACTGCTGTAAACGGACGTTAAGTGTACGATCTCTTGTAAACAGCCAGTTGAGGATTCTTTCCAGCGATATGTGTCATGGGGAACTCCTCCGTTCTGTCCTCGGTTCGACATGTGACAGTCATGCATGATTTAGAGGAAGCGAGGCCGGTAGTTCTCGCATCGATGAAAGAGGAAGTTAGGTGCCTTATCTGTGGCGTGAGCCCAAACAGAAACCACTGGTGCAGAGCCAGCTGGCTGTATATCATATCATACCCTGGAAGGCGACCCGAGCAAACACTCACTGCTCAGCTTCAGCTCTGTTTACACACAGCAACACACCGGATCCGATTGCACGACACCGACACCTCTCCGGGGCTTTATCCCCACCTCATGTCGTGTTTCTGTGAACCATTCAAGTGTATCGTGTTCGTCTCACTGGGGATGGACGCTGCTGAGTTTCTCTCTGCATCTCAGGCCCAGCGCTGCTCTGCGTCACATGACAGATTAATCAGGTTTTATTTAGCAGCTTCCCAAAAGCCGTCCTGCTTTCCATCACTCTGTCCAACCGTGTGATTGATGCAGGCGCCGTTTCCGCTCGTTGACAAGCAGTCACGTTAGTCACCTGCCAGCGGTTCGTGCACAAGCCTTTGCGGCTCTCAGGGTTTTCCATCCATCATCACTGCTCAGCCTCAGCGGGGTGCAGGTCGGCGCACAGGTTGCATCAAAAAGTTGCTCCAGTTTGAGCGTCACGTGAGCCGAAATGAAACCAGAACTTCAGGTTTTTGTCGGAGGAACTCATTTAAAGTGATGTTGGAATAAAACATGAGCAAGATGAACGAAAACTCCAGCTTTGGATCGTGAGTTTTTTCAGCTGCTGGTGGGGTTTACAACCAAGAGAACTGAGATTCTGTTAAATTTATTGAATATGTTTCAAGATGACATCATTCATCTGTCCTTGTTTGTTTTTATTTATGTGTTTAAAGCAAATAATAACACTGAGATTATAACCTGCG